TCTCTCTCTCTCTCTCTCTCTCTCTCTCTCTCTGCGCGGAGAGCGCTCTGGTGCACGCATGGCAGTCACTGAGTGTGGGCGGGCGGCGTGGATACGTGCTTTTGTACAGTACACACAACATCTGACGGTCGCTTATGAGGTCTGTTTGGGACAAGTGTGGGTCCCAATTAAGGGTCCATGCTGCATGATCCCGCTCGACGCCCAGCAGGGGCCAGCCAGCCAGCCATTAGGTTTGGTGGGCCCGACACTTGCGCGTTGTCGCACTATAACGGCAGCTTATTTGGTGAGCGCGCGGGCAAAAGAGAATATCGTGGGCCCAAGCCCAAGGTGAGCAACAAGCCACCCCACCCTACGGTTGTGGATGCATGGCCGCCCGATGGTCCGCAAGGACTTGTGACCTTGTGCTTCACAGGTCGGGACGCGGCACGGGTGGCCTTGCAAACGTGTGACTGAGCGCCGCAGGCATTGAGAGGACACTTAATTGGAGAGTGGATTTGCTGACGGGCCAAGCCCCACACTAAGCGACCGCAACAGGAGGAGGACCTCCTCATTCGTGATTGGACACACTCCCTCTCAGGAGTCCTGGCCGGCAAGGGATGGCCCGCTGGTTCGCAGCAACTCGTGCATCAACGCAAAGGAGGCCCAACTTTGATGCAATCAGCTAGATCAGATAGATCGATACCTTTTGGTCCCAAAAGAACCTTCCGAAGCTGCCAAGACGCTCCACCACGGTTATTGGTATGCGACTTTGCTCATCGAGAGACTACTACCGAAGCGAGGCACGTTGCAGAGCTGCAGCGCTCAATTTGATCACGGCAAGGGAGCTCATTTCGCGTCACAGCAAGAGTTCATCTCATCATACTTTAGACTGCCGACCGCGTGCGCCAGGATGGCCTGATATTCAGCGCTCCCCGCATGACGCATGCTTACCCAGGTCCAGAGCAGGCAAACAGAAAGTCTTCTTGCCTGCCAAAGAGCGAATCGCTGAAGCTGAAGTGCCAATGTGCCATGTCGGCCCATATCCGGCGTCGACCCAGGAGAAATGCCGAAAGCCCCCGAGACTGTATTCTACCTCCAGAGACCGCATGCAATGACCACCACCCGTAACTTTGTACCTCTCTCATCAGAGTGCATCGTAGGGTTGTGTGGGGGCTTTGTGGAGGAGAAGCCGAGCAATTGTGGGCGTCCTTCCCAGCTGTCTGGATGCTTGCTGTGAGGGATATAAAGCAGACACTTAGGAGCTCGCTCTCACTAGGTAGTCCCATCAACCCTCCTCCCCCACCAGCTATCCTTCCACTTCACGCCTCACCCAACCTCACCTAGTCATCTCCATACACGTCATCAAAATGGTCGCATCCAAGTTCCTTGCTTTCCTCGCGCTGGCAGCTGCTGCCGTTGCCGCACCCGCCTCTATCGAGCGTCGCGCCGAGCCTGGACAGGCCAACATTGACGACGTCATCCTCAACTACGCTCTTACCCTCGAGCATCTTGAAAACGCCTTCTACAAGGAGCTGCCGTCTCTCCAAGCCTTCTCCGCTGCTGGTTACGACACCTTTGTCCACGCTCGGTGAGTCTGCCACCTGTGGGCTCTGTGGCGAAACCTCGTCGCTGAAAATGCTTTCCCAATCTTTCCCACAGCTTCCTCCAAATCGGAGGTCACGAGGCTAGCCACGTCAAGTTCCTGAGCCAGGCCCTCGGAGACAAGGCTACCAAGGCTTGCACATACGACTTGTGAGTTGGAGTGCATCCGCACTGCTTGACGTGACGCGTGGTGAAGCGTTGTAGACTGATGTGCCGTCTCCATCATCCAATGTCACAGCGGCGTCAACGGCGATGTCAACAAATTCGTCCAGACCAGCGTTGTGCTGGAGGGTGTTGGAGTCAGCGCGTACGCCGGCGCAGCACAGAACATCACCTCTCCAGCCTACCTCACGGCCGCCGCCACTGTTCTGACTACCGAGGCCCGTCACTCCGCTTGGGCTCAAGCAGCTGCTCGCAAGGGCAGAGCTGACGGTGACCCCGCTGGCGCAGCCTACGACACCCCTCTGACTTCTTTCTCGCAAGTCTACAGCTTGGCCGCCCCCTTCATCAAGAAGTGCCCCGACAGCAACCCCGCTCTGCCCGTAAAGGCTTTCCCTGCCGCATCTTGGAGCACCACACCCACCACCGGCGCTACCGTCGGCGTCAAGGGCGACGGTGTCAAGGATGGCCAGTCCGTCGCCTTCATCACCGCTGCAGGCACCACCGCCTTGGCCAAGATTCAGGGCGGAAAGGTGACTGTCCCCGCTGAGGTTCAGGGTGGCCGCACCTACGCCGTCGTCATCAAGGCCGACGCAAAGGCCGTCAGCGACGACAACACTGTTGCCATCCTCTCCCCATTCGACGTTCTCCGCACACCTAAGGAGGCAGCCAACCGCGCCCGTGCCGGCAAGGAGAACTGAGCTTGTCCAATTTCCTCTTGCGTTCCTGCATACTGAACACCAATACCTTTGTCACATTTCCTTGCCTCGTTAGTCAATCGCAATCATCTCATTGCTGTCCCCTGTCCTGTTGATCGTCGGGAGGTGTCGTTTGCAAGGCATCTGAGGCTCGATGCCTGATGTACAAGAGGGAAGGTCACGAGTCATCGTCTTCTTCGCTGGAGCTGTTGCTCTCGCCCTCGTCGAAAAAGCCGTTTTGATGATCACCTGAGCGCATTGATCCGCGTCGCCATTTCTTGGCGTGCGTAGATCCATGCGGGCTGAGCGCCGCAGCGGTGAGAGGCTTGTTGGCGAAGTCGTTCTCCACAACTCCTGAGTGAGCTTTGTTCTTCACTGAAGCAGGCGTTGCGTCATCTCCATCCTCGTCAGCATTTCCTTTGCCACGCAGCCACAAGAGCCCCTTGCGGCTGGTCTTGGAGCCGCCAAATTGCCTGACGTCCGCATCGTTGGCTGATCGCAGGCGCGAACGGCGCGGCAGAAATTCCCCAGGCGTTTCCACGTCAGTTGGCGTGGCATTGCCCTCATCGCTCAGCTGAGCAGATGCATAACTGCTCAGACGAGGAAAGAGTCTTGGCCGCGCTCCATCAGACAGCTTCTTGCTAAGGAAGAAGTCACCGGGGTCGTTGGCGCTTTCATCCGAGAGCCTCGCCTTGTCCGCTGAGGTGGACAATCCCGCTTCAGCAGCCGCAGGCGTTCTCTGCTCAGCGGCGCGTTGCCGCACAGCTCTTCGGACTTCCAGTCTACCCTGCTCCACAGCCGCTTCTAGGCGCCGCCGGTTTGATATCATGTGCTGTGAGGAACCCCAACCGAGGTCGAGTTCAGCACATAAGGGATTGCACGGTCCAGTCTCAAGGTGCTCACAAGCTTCGGAAAGGTTACTGTCCGGCCAATCTGCATCATCCGTGCTAGCTCCTTGCGGTCCGGGTCGCTAAGAATCCGTACCCAGTCCCAAGCGCGGGTTCGCGGCCACTGGGAGATAAGAGGGTCCATGGTGTCAGCGTGTGCATGCTTTCCAGCGCAATTTTGCACCGCAAGCTCACAATAGTGACGGCACCAGCAAAGCGCTGCAGGAAGACTTGAGACCAGTCGGCGCCCAGGATGGTGGGCATGAGATCCAAATCACGGACTACCTTGAAGTTGACCGAAAGATGCAGCTTAAGAACATGCTCAGCAGCACTTAGGAGGAAGCCACCACGCCATCCTTTGCCCTTGCGATGCGCGACTGGCCGTCCAGGTGCACCTGCAGCAGTCACAAGGGTCAGTATGGGAAGCTAGCTCGAGCAATAGTCCTGACGACGTCTCACCTTGCGGACTATAGAAGAATAGATGCACATGCGGGTTGACTTGGGACACGATAGGGTAGTTGACATTGTAAAGGGCGTGCAGGTCTTGAAGGGGTATATCGACGCGCAGACTGCCATCTTTGAATCGATGACCTGCAATGCGCAACGTGGACGAGTCAGTAAGCTGAAATCTTCACGAAAGTGCTGCACGAGTGCTACTGACCCCAATTCCATGGTTTCGCTTGCCCAGTCTTAGGATCCTTGGACATCAGACACACAGGATTGAGGATACCTGCAAAGTCCATGTGGAGACAGTCTCAGCGCTTGCATGGAGGAAGCGCAACGCGTGCAGACTGACCTGGCACAGCAGCGGAAGCCAACAGCGCAGACCAAATGATGCAGTGCGGTGCAGAAATGATGTTCAGAAGAATTGTTGGTGAATGGCGATCAGCCTAGCATCAGCAGGTAGAGGCGGCATCAGTGGCTTTGAAGCAGCGTCGATCACGGAGTAGCCTTTTTCCAGCTACTCACCGGGACTACGCTGATGTTGAGAATTTTGCCGGTGCGCTTGTATGCTTCCAGAAAAGTTAGGGAGCCCATCGTGAAGTACTGAGCCTTCTCAGCCCAGGGCACAAGGTCGAATCGCGCACCAGTGCGCCAAGCTCTGGGACCCCAGATGGTGATGGACTCTTCGCATGCTGTGATGCGATCAGCAAGCGCAGGCACCAAGATGTGCTTGAGCTCATCCTTGGTTCGCGTACAAGCCAAAGCGGCGATAAGACCACCGGCAGAGGTACCGGTGATTATAGAAGGTAGGAGATCGGCATCAAGCAAGGCTCGAACTAGCCCAATGTGGTCTGCGTTTCGAGTGTGGACATGTGAGCCTGAAAGCATGCTTTCGAGCCACGTAAAACTTTTTGATACTCACAGTACCCGAACGATCCTCCGCCTGAAAGACACAGTGCGCTTTTGCCCAAATTCTTGGCAGCGTTGCGATAGAATTGTCGTTTGTGCTCGATCGCAAGCTGAAGCACGGAACAAGAGTCTCGACGTCGGCGATGTGCGACCAAAAGGGGAGCAGAGTCAGGCGATCACTGACCTTTTCTGTTGTTCGCACGTACTCAAGGCCTCTCTCGGCCTCCTGAAGGTAGGCCTCTATCGCGAACTTAGTGCCGAAGTATGTCTCACTGTACAACCTGAAATTTTCGATGCCCGCAAAATTGTTTCCTGAAGAGTCGCCCGCGCATCAGGATTCCACTGCCGTGCTTGTGATCGTGCAAGCCACCTTCTTGCACTCACGAATGCACAAATCCAACACGCCAAGCAGGTTCTCGGCATCGTCTCGCTCTCGGAACGCTGGGTTTAGGAATCGCAGAACATCAATGATCAGGGAGGCTGCAAGAGTCTTCGCATTGTCACTCACCTTTGAGGCTTGCGGTGACCTTCTTGACCAACCTCCAGTCATACAGCCCACTGGCATCCTCGTACCTCCACTCGCCAAAACCGCCAAACTTGTCCATCTCCTTGGCCGTAGTCGTCCACTCCTCCCACGAGCGTGACGCTCTGAGCTTGCGACGAAGTCTCCCTCGCTCTCCTCGCCAAGCTGATAGGTACTCGATCACGTTCACGCACTGCCGGACTAGCACGTAGAGCAGGAATTGCACAATGATCGCCAGCCATACGGCCACCAGAAGGGGGAATCGCAGCACGGCGTAGACTGGGCCCTGACGCGAGCCCGAGTCGTGCTTCTTGGAAGCTTTGTGCGACGTCTTTTCCCTCACAGGCGCAAAGTCAGAAGTCGCTGATATCTTGCCGATCTTTCTTTGATGACTGTTCTGACGATGCTGGGAGTGAGAGCTAATCTCAGCGCTGGATTCATTCTTGCTCGTCGACTCGTCCAGTCCTGGCGATTTGAGGGTCGTCGCTCCAGGATAGTCGTCTTCGGCAGTAGGCGCCAGCTCGTCGGCTGTCAGCGGGCCGAGCTCGTGCGCGTGCTCCGTCTTGCCCGCATCATCTCTAAGGGCATCCGCAAATGCAGCGACATCATCCGGATTTTCAAAGATCTCGGTCAGCAGAGGGTGAAGCTCTGGCACCTCCACGCCGGGTGAGCGCGGCGAGAGTAGGTTTCGCCAGGACGCAGTGCGTTCGTGAGGGCGCAGAGTAGCAGTGTCTATGGAGTGTGGCAGGGGAGGTGACGGCGAAGACTTGGAGTCCGAGCTGCTTCCTGGCAGCTTGTCATTGCTGTCAACCGATGTCGTGTTGGACTTTCCCGTTCTTCGCATGAACAAGGGCACACCAGGCCAGATGCGCTCTCTACCGCGCTTTGCGTTGGCGCTGCCTTGCTGTGACTGGGACATGGCCTGCGGCTCGGAGTCTTTCAGTGCGAGTCCTCGGAGAAAAGGTGTCGCCTGGTGTGATGAGAGTGATATCAGTCCGAGTGTTGAACAGGGGACGTGGATGATCGAAAGGGTGGAGTATGACAGATGAATGCTGCTGGAGCGAGGAGCTCCGTGAGCGCTTCGCACGTATGGTTGATGATGTGGGTAAGGAGGGTATCCAAAGGGAAGCGCATCCGCGTTGGGCATCAGTCGGAGTTTAGGCTGTGTGATATGCGCGGTCAAGTTGTGAATGCTGTGATGAATGCATGGTGAATGAATGCTGTGCAGATGCAGACAGCCGCCGCGACGTGCCCCGCGGCCGATCACCTTCTTGCTTCCCCGCAATAAACAGCAGCTAGTCGATCGATCCATCTCACAGCGCCTTAAATTACGCATTTCAAGTCGCTTACAACTCTAGCCTCTGCGTGCTAGCAAGAGGCAGCACCCGGCCGCCGCCGCCGCGCTCGCCATCCAGCTTGGCTGATGACAAGCCGGGCCGTTTCTTTCGGACAGCGGGCTGATGACACCTACGCCGAAGACGATTGTATGGTGACGAGTCACACTCAATGCCCGCACCGCCCACATGACGAATGTGTGATTCAATTACTTACAGACTCGCACAAATTTGACTTTACATAGATGCGAGGACGCCGAAGCGCAAGCTCGCGCGACGACCTGTGAATGACTCTTGAGGAGCGCACATCAGCGACCCATTTCGGGCATCGAGGGACGCTAGCACGCTGATGGGCCGGCCCAAGCCCCGCGCTCGGAACGCGTTCGAGGCCCCAACAATTCACGCTGAACTTGGAGTTACGTACGGTCTTGAAGTCGTGAGTCTTCTGTTGTGAGTCTGCGGATGAATATACCGGTACGGCACAGTCACAAGTGCGCACATGCAGTCTACGTCACCTCGCGCCCCATGCATATCGCGCGGCACTCACCACTCACAGACTCACGCGCGCGCGCCAGCATCGGCGATTTGCATCCACAAAGTCCGCGGAGGCCGCGGGCAGGCAACACAACAGCTCGTCACGTGTGAGCGCACTGCAGCAGCTCGACCCGTGACTCTGCGAGTCGACGATCTTGATTCGTGATGCAGGATTGATTCTTGATTCTCTTCGAGCCGTGAAGTGGACATCGATGCCGTTCACATTCGTGATTGAGACACTTCCCATCAAGGCGCACTGGGTGTCAAGGAAAAGACGCACACATTTTGACGATTTCCTTCGCCGCGCCAAACTCATCGAGCGCGTGCTGCCAAGGCTTAGAGGCATCTGAAAGTGATCAACAGCCATGGCGGCTTCCACGAGAAAATTGGCCACCTTCGCCACAGGGTCCACTCCCAGACTGGTCGCTGCCCGCAGTGTCAGGGTGTCCTCGAGCTCAGAACCTACTTTGAGGCCGTCACGCACCTCAGTAAATCTAGCGTGCTCAGGTAGGGACGCACGCGGCACTGCATCAGGGCCTCGCAGGCTGCTTCAAACCCACTCCCCTTCGGCAGCCCCTTTGCTGCCCCTGACCTTTGCACCAAGCAATGTCCACAAAGACGATCCGCCATTCTTCACATCTCCACAGCACTCTCCTGCGGGTCCGATCAGTCCGGAGGAGTACCGACTACGATTGGGCAGGGCACTCGACCTCTTACGCGCTACTTTGCCAGACTTATTGCGCATAGGCATAGCAGACTACGACCACTCGAGCGCGAGTCAAGCGGAAAGATCAGCAGCTTTGGGTCCCGTCTTTAGCAACAATATTCAATTCCGCTTCTTGCCTTCGCCCGAGCATGACGACGAGCCAGGCTCCGCCGCAGATGCAGCAGCAGCTGCTGCGAACCTCGGTTTCAGCGGTAGAGGGCTGTACTTGGCCAGCGCGCATGTTCTTCGACACGCTCTAAGCGCAATCTTCGCCGAGGGCAGAGTTGATCTGGAGCGAATCAAGCTGGTGGATGGAAGCGGAAAACCTTGCTCGGCTGCCATGGCAAGTCTGCCGGCAGCAGTCGCTCAGCACGAGTCGAGCTCGAACGCCACAAAGCAAGCGTCCACCAGTAAGCATGCTATTCTGGCGCGGATCACTTACTCTGGCAAACTCAGGGTCACTGGACAACCGCAATCGTACACGCTTCGGTTCCGCTACGAGTTTGATCATCTGGGTCAAATCAGCTTGCACGTGGTTGAACGCATCGAGCCCGCTGTTGGCCGAAAGGTGAGTAGGGCAGGCAGCCCGCTTCGGCGCAATCGCGCACGGTACACGACAGGGTCGCTCGCAGGGCGACGCGGCGTGCTGATAGTGCTGCTTTCTTCTTTACAGCTGTGGGCAGGTCTGACTCACGCATTCATGCGGTTAGCCGGCTTAGCACCGCCCAACCCTCATCCAGTGCCCTCGCACATCGTGTCACGGCATCCAAGGACTTTCCTGCAACGTGCGGCCGGAAGTCTTCGCAGTCCTGACGAGCGCCGGATGATGCACACCTCAGCTCCTCGACTAGATGTAGGAGGTGACTCGCAGTACAAGGTCGGTCAGATCGAGAGGAAGCTCGCCTTGTCTTTTACGTGCACCGTCCCCGACTGTGGACATAGGAGTGCGCACGAATTCACGGCCAGAGCATATCAAAAGGGCATTGTGATCGTCGAGTGTCCGGGATGCAAAAATAGGTGGGCTACTTAGGCCGTTTCGTATGAGAATTTTGGATTGGCAGCTCACTCTGAACTTGCTCATGATGGCGCAGGCATCTCATTGCGGACCATCTTGGCTGGTTCAAAGATTCAAACGAGGCGCGGACCGTGGAAGAGATGGTACGTGCTCACGGCGGGCGGGTACGTACAGGCACGAAGGCCTCGGATGGACAGGGAGGTACTACTATCGAGATCGAATCGGACGAGGGCTCGGGAGAAGGGGCGGGTGAGGGTGCGAACGTGGTTGATGATGTGTCTAACCAGAAACCAAAACTTTGATTAAGCGCACGATTTTTTGTGGAAAACTTACGAGTGCGCCACTCAAGACTGTAACATAGTAGTGGTACGACACCTTTACCATTCTGAATTGAAACCGCAGACCGGCTTGTTGCTGGAGGGCAGCTGCGGATGTGCTGAAGCTCTTGATGGGCCACAGTGATTCAGATCGTGACTGTTGAACATGATGGACGCGCTCTTGCTGGCCATCAAAGCATGGCTTTGGTGTAGTCACGAGCGGTGCGCATTGCGCGACAATGCAGATGCTGTGAGCTTGATGATGACCGCGCGGTCAGATCACTCTCGACTCGCGGCGGCCGCAAGAAAGCACAGACGGGGGCTGCGCGCGATCCACTCATCATTTTGGCTGAAGCGTAATCTTCGCATGCGTTGGGCTCTCACGGTGACTGACCATTTGCCTAATAGCCCTTCACGTCTGAGAACCTCAATAGTCTCGTCTACCATACATCTCTACCCAGCTACTCAATCGCCCATCTAGTCCCCTGCATTGCCTTCTTCAACATCGCTCCTGATTACCCATCCAGCTTCGCACCCACATTTGAACGCTCGTCTGTGCTCGCTTCGCGCCACTGGCAGGCCGAAAGCTCCGCTTTTCTGACATGAGTTCTCGCAGCTCGCAGGGCATTGCTGCCCTGCTAGACAAGGTGGGCCAAAAGATGTTTTCTTCTTGAGCACGGACTGCACCGGCTGAATCGGCCCACCTCTCTGATAGTCAAAATCCAGCGATGCCGACTTTCGGTGAGGTGGCAGCGCTAACTCAGACTAGTCGCACAGAGTCGGACTGATGTGCTCTCTGCTCGGTCTCTCGCAGTTATATGGCGCTATCGGACCTTATCACTGAGTTGAAAAGGGATGCCTTCTTGCAGATGGATTCTACGCTGGAGTCAAAGACGGTCACGACTACGCTTGATCTAATGAAGGACAAGAATGCAGAGGTTAAGAACATGGCCGTGAGGTGGTGAGTGTATGCGGGCGATGCCGGCCGAGGCTGAGTGAGGTAGCGGCTTGGTGCTTACTCCTCCTCATCCGTATTCGTCTTGCAGTCTCGGCGTTCTCACAAGTCGCGTGAAGCCAGCGCAAATTCAGATCATTGTTGATAGGCTGGTGGAGTACATTTCAGCCAAGGAGGAGGAGCAACGCGATATAGCTGCGCTTGGTGAGCATCATATCTGGGGCGCTTTCGATCTAGATGGATATCGAGAGGCTGATCGTGATTGTCGCAATGCAAAGGCCTCAAAACTGTGTTGGCGGAGCTGCCTGCAGACTCCGAGACTGCCGCAATCGCAGGCTCGAAGCTGGCGCCCAAGTTGCTCCACCAGATTGCTGAGGTGAGTCAATCACCCTTCTTGGAGTGTGTGTGTGCCGAAGGTCAGATGGCTGACATGCTGATCTCTGGCAATGGCATATCTGCAGCCCTCGGCTTCTCAAGAGCTTCTGATTGACAGTACAGAGCTGCTCGGAGACCTTTTCACCAGACTGCCAAGCATCGCAGCTTCAGATGCGACGTTGCAGCAGCGGGCGCTCCAAGTGCTTGTCACACGTTTGTCTCACGATCGAGCGGCGGTTCGCAAACGAGCGGTGACTGCCTTGTCGGCGTTGGGCGCCCACAGCAAATCAGAGGTCTTCACCGGCATAGCGACCGCCATCATCACTGTCCTCGACACGACGCAGGGCCTGAGCAAAGCTCAACTGACGGAAAGCAAGAAGACAAGGGTACAGCTCATTGGCAGTCTCGCCAAGACTTGCCCCAAACGCATCGGCAGAAGACTTCCAGAGCTCATGCCGCGCGTCACTGCGGCTACGCAAGTCGATGATGATGAGCTGCGCGAAGCTTGTTTGCAGTGCATGGAATCCGTCCTTCAGCAGTGTCCCTCGGAAAGCACGCCGTTCGTTCGGGGCATCATTGATGAAGCCTTGAAGCTGCTGCAGCATGATCCGGTATGTAGTCCCACGGTCGCTCGAATGGGTGAAGTGCACGCCCCTCACATCCGAAATTGGATACACCACAGAATTATGCTGGACTTGATGGAGATGATGGGGACATGGACGTCGATGAAGACGAGACGTTCGACGACGATGACGAAGTCCTCGACGAAGAGTGAGTCCTGTTCGTGTACTCGCTGTTGCTTCACCAGCTGATACTCTGACGCCAACGTGCTTTGTAGTTACTCTGATGACGACGATCTATCGTGGAAGGCTCGTCGTGCTTCGGCTAAGGTCTTAGCAGCTGCGATCACGACGCGACCCGAGCAACTCACCGACTTCGCCAGCTCAATTGCACCCGCGCTCGTGGCCCGATTTGCGGAGCGTGAAGAAGGCGTTAGGCTAGAGATCCTGCAAACTTTCAAAACGCTGCTGCGTCAGCTGCAACTGCACGATGGGACTGCTCAGGCTACCGAGGTGCTTGTGCAGAGTCCGGGAGCGTTGAAGCGCAAGAGAGACGCAATGGAGACGGATGAGAGCCACGCTTTGCAGTGAGTCTCCTTGTTTTTGAATATGCCCCATCCAGCCCCTCACTGAAGTAGCCGCGCCTTGCACGTCTAGCCCGCGGTCGCAGCTGCGCAAGCTTGAGCCTGCGATTGCCAAAGCCATGTCGAAGGAGATCAATTCAAAGTCGGTGTCCACTCGTTTTGCATGCTACGCTCTGCTTCGAGAGCTCGTCCTGGTCCTGCAAGGCGGACTTGACGCCCATCTGTCGTCGCTCATTGAGCCCACTGAGAAGGCGCTGAAGGGCACAGAGTACACGGCCGGCAGCGCTGCTAACCTGAGAGGAGAGGTCCTTGGCTTCTTCCGTCTCGTGTTTCAGTGGCACGAGTCTCGAGCTTTCGAGGCATCCCTACCTCGCGTCGTGCCTGTCGTCATTTCTGCAATCGAGGACAAGATCCAGCGAGACGTTGTAGAGGCATTTGCCGTCGTCAGACAGCTAGCTGCAGTACTACGGCCGGACGGCTCAGCCCCCTCCGGCTCGTCAGGTAAGGCTCTCGAGCCTCTGGCGAATGCGGTCCTCACTCGGCTTTCTCGAGCCGATTCGGATCAAGAGATCAGAGATCGTGGAATCGAGACAATCGGCGACCTCGTTGCGAAAGCAGGGGACGATCTCGCAGATCTTCGTACAGCAGCATTTGCGCAGCTCTTGCAGGGTCTACAAAATGAGCTCACACGGTACTCCTCCGTCAAGGCGGTAGGGCAAGTCGCCTCAAGACCTGGTGCCACGGGAACTCAAGTGGAATCATTTGTGTCAGCAGCCATCAATGAAGTCGTGCCCCTCCTACGCAAGCCAAATCTTGCTCTCAATCTGGCTGCATTCGACACCTTAGCAGCGTTGTTGCGCAAGTCCGACGGTAGGCTAGACGGACCCCGTCAACAAGAGATTGTGAGGGAAGTCACGCCCATTGTCGGAGAGTCAGCGGACTTCAACTTGCTGCCCGTCGCTCTCGCAGTCGTCAGCTTGGTGGTGGCTCACAGCAACGACTCTGCAACTCAGGGGGTGGTGGACAGCGAGCTCATCCCGGCACTTCTCCACTCAGTCCGCTCTCCATTGATGCAAGGCGCGCCCCTCGAGGCCGTCACAAGCTTCTTGGGGACTTACACTCGCGCCAATCCTCAAGTCGCTGCTTCAACGATCCAAGCTTTGTTGGCCGCTCGTACGACAAGCAAGAAAGCGGACGTGGCTCAAAATCAGACGACGACGACGATCGCTCGCTGCGTCGGCGCTGTCACTCGCTACGCGCCCGAGCAGGCATCAGCGGTCGTCCAATCCGCTCGAAGTGCGTTGTCCTCGGATCAACCTTCTTCGAGGGAGTCTGAGCTTTGCTTCAGTTTGCGCCTGATTGGCGAGGTTGGCCGTTCAAAGGATCTCTCGGGCGACGCATCCCTTCTCGAGCTGATTACAAGCTTTTACGTGCATCAATCCGACGACGTCAAGGCTGCCGCTGCGCTTACCATTGGCAGTCTTGCCTTGGCCAATCCTGAGACGCTGCTACCAAGCATTTTGCAGCAGATCAGCGCTACTTCCGACAGCAAGCGTCAGCTTTTGGCTTTGCAGTCTTTGCGAGAGCTTATCACGCACGCTGACCGAGGCTCCCTTGCCGGAAGTCTCGGTCGAGTGTGGACGCCGTTGCTTGAGCAGTCTCAGTCAACAGACGAAGCAACGCGGAACATCATCTCGGAATGTCTGGCGCGCTTGACCCTCACCGATCCTCGCGCCTACCTGCCGCAACTTCATGCCCGCATCCATGATCCCAACCCAGGAGTGCGAGCTTCGTCAATCGCGGCTATTCGCTACACTCTGCTCGAGGCGAGTGCCACTTTCGACGAGCAGCTGGCGTCAACCTTGGTCGACTTCCTGGGTCTCATGCAAGATGAGAGCCTCGAGGTCCGCCGGCATGCGGTGTTTGCTCTCAACTCTGCAGCACACAACAAGCCCGCGCTCATTTCTGACCAGTTGGTGGTGCTGCTACCTTTGCTGTACAAGGAGACCTTCCCAAGGCCCGAACTTTTGCGCAAAGTGACGATGGGTCCTTTTATTGTCACCCACGACGATGGCTTAGACCTGCGAAAGGTCAGTCCAAACAGCGAAAGATGGCCCACCTTGCCCAATCACTGAGCCGCAAATCTTCCGTCTCTCACCTGCAGACTGCATACGAGACCATGCTGACGCTGCTGGATACTAGCTTTGCTAGGATAAGCTTGCCCGAATGTGAGTCTTTCCTCGGTGTACGCTAGGGCATGAAGGGCTCATATCTTGAGTCATACGTTTTCAGACATGGATCGCGTCATTGCCGGTCTCAGTGACGAGGACGGTATCAAAGTGCTCTGCTACTTGATTTTGATCCGCCTTTCTGATGTGGCTCGCCTGCAGCTCTCTCCATGTGCGTGTAAGGCTCGGCACTGACAGATGCGCGGGATTGCAAGCTGACCTCAAAAAGCGTGATCTTCGTGAACAGACTTGGATGCGATCGCAACGCCAATCACATCCACGCTCAAGCTGAAGCCTAAAGATGCAGCATCCAAGCAAGACATTGAGCGCGCCGGTGAAATGCAAAGGTCCATCTTCCGAGCGCTCATCGCGCTCGAAAGAGTTCCAGCGGCTTCGCACGCTGCCAAATTTGCTGCACTCATCAAAGAGGCGAAAGCGGTGCCGCACGGTGCTTACGAGGCGGCTGCCAGCGCGAGTCGCAAGACTACAGCATAGAAGGTCGTCCGACTGAAAGGCAAGGCACTCGCATTCGAACACCGACGAAGAAGAGGCGAGAAGAGATACAATTCGAAAAATGCTGATGTGATACAAATACAGGTTGTTGTCTGGACCCAAAGCTGAATTTTGGGGGTGTACAATAGAGAGCAAGGGATGAGTCGAGCATAGAGTCACAAACTGACTACCGGCCCAGAATCATCAGAGGACATGCCGCCGATGATCCAGCTTTCCACGTCAGCTACTGCCGCATCAGGTCTACCTCTCCTTCGAACAAGAAAGCCCTGAAGCGCAGCCATGCCCACGCCCGTGACTGTGTCCGCCTCTCCTGCCGCAGTGGCCTTCGTATGCGTAGGTTCCGGAATGCGCGAAGCGAAGTCGAGCGATTGAGACCAGAGAGAGGAGCCGTATACCTTTGCGCCGACCGCGTCCTGCACGGTGCGTCCTGCCTTGTTTGCTGTCGAGCAAGTGTCGAATGCGACCACGGGCGGATCGATGCATGCTGCGCCCTGATCTGCACCGGCACCATCCACCTCCTCGTCGTACTCCATCAGCTTATTGGGAGGAGTGACGGGAGGAGTGATGGGTCTGCTGAGACTCAAAGTCCAAGCATCCTTGACGAGCGGCTTCTGTGCTTCGTCCGAAATCTCGACGGCTTCGGACTCCTGGCGTGCTGACACAGTACAGGCCTCGCCTTGCCGCGCTTGCTCGAGCTGCTGCAAAAAGTCTGCTCGGGTATCCAGGTCGGTGTAGATGTTGAGAAAGAGGGCTTGAGCTTGTTGATACGTAGCATTGCCGACGAACATGCGCAAGTCGAAACGTCCAGGTCTTATCAATGCCGGATCAATCCTTTCGATGTGATTTGTAGAGGCAAGCACAATGAGACCCTTTGTGGAAGCCAACACTCCGTCCAGAGCGTTCAAGAGACCAGAAAAGGTGACTTGGCTCCTTTCATCCGAACTCTGCCTGTCGGCCGTAAAGATGGAATCGATGTCTTCCAAAAGCAGGACAGCGCTGTAGGTGCACCTCACTAGTCGAGCAAAAGTAGCATCGGTAAGACCAGCCAGGTTGATGGTGTGCAAATTTTGCTTTAGCTTGCCCGCCAATGCCGTCGCGACGCTCGTCTTGCCTGTGCCGGGAGGGCCGTAGAGCAGAATGCCGCGCCTGTGAGGCAATCCGTGCTTCTCGTACCACGGCGCCGAAGCGACGAATGACTGGACATCCTCTAGCAAAGCTTCGGCTTTGCCCTCGGCCAAGATGACAGAGTGCCAAGGCTTGAGAGGGATATCGCAAGCCTCTTCCCACTCGTCATCCACCACCTCGTACACCATCGTCAGATCTGACCGCGCCACCTCATCCTCACCTCGAATGGTGCACAGCAGCTCTTCGAAATGTTGACGGTGGCGCGTCATCATTTGGATGCGAGTAAAGTGAGAAGGTGAACTAGAATTGCCTTCGTACGTTCTCTCCAGCTCGTACGATATGAGCGTCGTGGGCACCGAGGATCTGCACAAGAAGCCGCAGAGCTTGGCGAGAGCGAAGCGCAGCAAGGTATGGACGGTGACGGGCGTGGAGATGCCGCTGCTCCTGTCAACTAGCAACCACACCTTGCTGCATTGCGGCTGGGTGGAGACGACGCAAGCTGGCGCTTCATGAGACTTGGGCCTGACTTCTTCGATCTCGAAGCTGCGCAATTCCTTGGCAGTAGGCTGAGCAGCGATCCATCGTTTCAACCAGCTCCATCCATGTCCATTAATGTGAGCCTGAAAGAAGAGGCGATTAGCGACAAACTTGTACAGATACGTCTTGAGGAAGCTGAAAAGCCCTTCGGCTTGAAAGATGGCTGCTAGAGCCAGAGCTTGTGGCAAGGCACTGCGCTTTTGACGCAGCTGAGTCAAGAGGGATGCAAAGGCGCTTCGGCCCAGTGGAGCGACGCTAGAGGTGGCCGAGCGGAGAGCAGAGACTGCACCTTGATCCATATCTCTTGATGCGGTTTGGGAGCTAGCGGCTGACGACTTGTGTGAGGGAGTGATTCAAGCAAAGCTGAGGCGAGAGCTGAGAAGCACTTCCTCTTGTTGCGCCTGAAAAGGATGGGGAGTGTTGCTGAGGTATTTGGGCTGAATGCTGAGCTTGTCGCAGTAGTGTGGCGTAGAGGCGAAGCGATGCGGTCGAGTCTCAACCGAGTACGTTTTGTTGTGTACTTCAAGTGAGCGGAGAATGTTGACGGTGCAAGAAAGAGGTCGGCCTTTTGAACTTTACCCACAAACCAACCTCGTCTCGGTGTCGCGCCTCCGGCGTGACTCGACCTGACACTCCTGACTGTGATCATCTGCGTCGCACCCTTTTCGCCTGGCCCTGCCTTCGCATTGGACGCTCATCAATGGTCCATATGAATCCAGCCTGTCGAATGCTGCTGTTTGCAGGCAGTGGACGCCTAGCGGAGAATCCATGTCCATCGAGTCATCACGAAGCGCACCTCTTACCCATGCGCTTCGTGTGGTGCGTGAGTGGCAAAGGGAAAGAAAGAAAGCAGGCAACTGATTGCATGTCGACCTAAAAGAAGCGCTGAGCAGCGCATCGTGTGCGCCATGTCGTGGCTGTGTCGAATGTTGCAGCAGCGCGGTTAGGCGACGACGCGCGCTATTCACTCAACTCCGCCACATGCTGCATGCATATGTAGCAGATGCTGCTGTACCCGTACCCGTACCATACCGCGCGGCCATGCTGCCTACAAGTCAAGCGTGCGATCGAGTCATCGATTGCTCTGCTTGTCAAAGCAACTCACGACTGAGCGAGCGCACAGACAGAACATCAACCACCTTGCATTCACATGCTTGATTTGGCCTTGCTCGGGGGCCGTGCGAGCAAGGCTGGCAGCAACGCTGCCAAAGGGCTGTCCTGGGTGCGTGCAGTGCAAGATCTCGAGGTACTTCGGACTTTCTTCCGTCTAGGGACGCAAGATACGGAGAAGAGGCCGATGCTGCAAATGCGTACCTATACGAACAGCTTCGCTTGTCAACAATGCACATTCGACATTCTCACCCTGTGATCTCGCAAAGCACACCGTCGCTTCTTCAGGCTACCTGCGGCCAGCGGCGAGCGGCAAGGCATGCGAGGGGGGGGGCGGCAATGGGGAGTATTTGATGGATTATCGTCGTGTTCCTTCTGTGCGCCTTGGCCGCCGATGTCCGAGCAGCATACAAATCACAGCTCGCTTTCGACTTTTTCCCAATCCCTATCCTTTTCATCCCCTTGTTCCCCTTTCCGTCTTCTTACATTCAAACCCCTAGACGGCAGCGGAACGAGATCACTTTGCGGCTCAAATTCGTCCGGGTGCAGGGCCAACAGGCTGAGCGGAGCAATCTCTCCATTCCTCGCCTGCCTCCACACATCCCTTGCCACACCTTCCAATTTTTGTATCAATTCCCTCGCTTTCAGTCGAACCGCTTGGCCCGCAGCTGCCTGCTCCACCTCTTGCCTTGCTTTCGCTCCCATCCTGAGCTTGGCCACATCCCACCCATCGACCCGTCCAGCATGCACATACTCTTGTCCCCAGAACGTCGCTCGTGAGCCGTACCGCGCGCTAGGGTCGAGCAGGTGTGAAGGAGCTAGGGCGACGTGCGAGGCCGCTACGGCTCCCTTGTAGCCTTCGATGGGGTGATGAGGTGAAAAGGTCCAGCGAGCCTGCCAAAAGGAGCGCCATCAAGGCCAAGGATTTCAGCAATACGTTTTCACTATTTCCAGCAATCCTTGCCAAGCTTGGACTATGAGACGCACCAGGTAGAAAGCGAATGACATGCACGCAGCCATGAACACGTTGAGGTATTCCGCAAAGATGCTGCTCGCAACTACGCCAGGGTGCACCACGAAGCTGTTTGGCTCCAACTCTCTCCTCTGCGTCTTGGCTTCGCCGACCAGGACGGAACCGTAAGACGTGTCTTGCGAGTCGCTCAGAGGCGTACTAGGCACGGTGCTCATCCTTTGCCGATTCAAAGCTTCGCCAAGACCGATGCCAGCCAGTTCGCACTGATACTTGGTGGATTCGTAGGGCCAGGGAGAATGCGCAGCATCTAGACACTGCCAGTCTGCTGGATCGTAGTAACGCGCGTACGCTTCGATCGAGCCGGTCCATATGATTCGTGATGGTGTAGCAAATGGCGTCGCTCTCAAGGCGGGCAGCAAAGCTCGAGTCTGTGCTCCTCAAACGAGTGAGCAGATAAAGCGGGCGTCCGGGTATGAGGATCCTTTCTTCGCGCAACCACGCACCGGAGTTTCGCTTGCTGCAGCACTCACGAGAATGTAATGCGCGCCGACGTTGGCTTGCCAAACCCAGCCGTAGCCGTCTGCACCTCGATCACCGGACCTCTGCATTTTGTACTTGGGCCAAGTGACAGCTACATGCAGCCTAGTCACGATCATCCAAACCGCCAAGGGCCAATTCAGACCGGTCCAAGCGGCGCTGCCAGCATTGAGGATGACGTGCGTCACATAGCCATGCCTGTTGCATGTGGCGCAGTCAGCGCGTCCTTCCTGCAAGCGCGAACAACATCAGCGTCGCAGCGATGCTCACCTCCTCTGGATTTCGCTGGCACAATTGAGCGCGCTTGCCATGCTGCCCAGATCTAGCGGGACGAACTCGATCGAGGTGCCCTGGCAGAATCTTCGTCTGTACTCTCCTCTCGCTCTGGCCTCCCTGCTCAATAGACTCAAGGAGGCTCCGTGCACGTCTCTCGTCGGATCTCTCCTCGGTGCGTAGGTGCTACTCGAGGAAGCTTTCGACGTGGAGGCGGGTTGGGTAAGCGAGTCGTAAGCTGAAGTCAAGCTCGTCGATGAGTCGGATGAGTCCAAAGTAGGAGCGCTTGCGCGCAAATGATCCGCCTCGTCTCCACTTTCGGCAGCAGCGGCCGCAGCAGTATCAGCCGCATGCTTGGCAATGGCATCTGTTGCTCGTTTTTTGCGCCTTCCTTGAGCTTGAGCGGCTTGAGCAGCGATGGCGGCATCCGCATCCTCGTCGATGCCTCTCTTCTCCTTTGGCGCTTCTCTCGGGGCGGGCGAGTCATCTGGCAGCTCCGCCAAGGCTCTGAGCAGACCTTCAAGATTCCTCCTCGCTGCGTGCGCCTTGATGGCGTTCCTACACGCCAAGATCAGCACGCATCCATCCGGCGCAGCGAAAGGAGAAGGAGGATTGAGCTGCTCATCGTTGCTAGTCGAGGCGATTCCAGCCCATGAGGAAGATTTGAGAGTCCAATTTGGCAACGTGTCGGAAGGAATGGCTTGCGAGAGCTGGACCAGGAGCCTTTGGGCTGTGCCGTAGCCCACACCAGAATTGGCGCCCGTGATGACAATGACGGGCCGAGGAGCCATGGTTGGCAGAATGGAAGGCGCACTGAGCGTGTCCGAGCGAATTGGATGGAGCGCTCGACTTTGAGGCAGGTGAAAGACCGCTGGCTTAGACAAGGACCGCCGGAGCTGCCTCTGGAGCGATCACAATCGCCGATTGAGAGCTTCGGTCGGTCAGTCAGGCCTGCATGAGGTCGATGGACTTTGCTTGATTTTGGTTGGAATCCACCTTGCAACGCAAATCCGCGTGAATGATCATTACTCGTGCAGCAAGCGTGAATTGCGCGCGCTTCATGTCGGGGTTAGTATGCCTATCCGCGCACCTGACCACCGCCCAAAAGCTTGCGAGATGCGTGATTCTGCTATTCTGATTCACGCGACTTATCGATCGAATATAATCTTGAATTAACTGTTGTAACTACCGCTCATATAGCTGCACCTAGACCCTCCTCTGCCACGTCCCAATTGCTCGAACCACGATCCAGCTCAAGTCACGAATCGATAAATAAAGGCTGCATGTCTGCTCGCCCCAATCCCTATCTATCCAACTTCCACTTTTGATTCAAAGTTGTGAGGATCCCCCTTTCTCATGATGAGATTTGCACTTGTGGATGCCAAATTAAATGCTGAATTTCGGCTTTGATGAGTCGTGAGTCAAGAGTCAAAAGTGTGAGAAGCTATTTGATCACGTGGCACGGGTGCCCAGATAGGCGCGCGCGAAAGGCGCATGCGCAGAAGAAGGTCGCTTAGCGCAGCAGACTCCGCATGATGTTGCACCGCCTCTCGCGCGCAAATGCGCGACGGACCTCGTTTCGTGCTGGCTTCCACCTCAAGACTTGCTTCCATTCACGATTGTCTCCCGCCATGATGTGTGCATGGCAGCAGCTGGGCAATCACAGGCTAGAAGTCCTTTTCCCGCTGCATGCACCGCATCTTCTCTTCAGCCGCTTGAGTAGATCCTTGTGTGTGAGTGAGCGATCAAGTCGCGAGTGGGTCTTGCAAGTCAAGCCATTTCGAGTCGTGAGTCTGAGTGAGTCTGAGTCGAGTGAGCTGCGCTCGCATCGTTCACGCACGACGATGATGACCACGTGCGCGCAAACGAGCTGCATGTCTGGCGGTGTCCACCGACTAACTCGTCGTCGCGCCTCTGCCGCTGCTGCTGCATCTTGCCGCTCCGCGTCGAAAAGTCCGCCATGGCGGGCGGGCCTTGGCTTCGATCGATCGCTGCTTCTCTGTACAGTAGTAGTACGATAGTACTGTATACAACAGTCACGAGTCTAATAAAGAGGCAAACCGTGGCTCGCGACGGCGAGGGCGTGCATGCGCTAATGCAGCAGCTAGCGCATGCAGCAGCAGCAGCCAGCCGACGAGCGTCGTTCCGCGCGGGCGCGCAAGCAGCATGTGCAATGCATCAGTCAGTCATCACGCGGTCGCATTCAACCGCCTCACCCGCTCCGCGTGCTCCATTGTGATTCGTGATTCTTTGTCTTGTGATTTCTGCTGCAGCAGCGCAGCGCTTCTCTGTTCGTCGATCTCCATCTTCATTGTCACTCCGCCCCCCCTCCGCGCACGCTCTTTCACACTTGCCGTCGTCCCTTTGACAGTCCATCACTCTCAATCTCGACGCGCAAATCAGCACTCACAAGGCTATCGAGCATCGCTTGCCAGCACATCAAGTTACACTCCCATACCGAGAGGAAATCCTATCATGGGCAGAAGAGCATTCTGCGTTCCCGCGCTGGTCACGGGCTTCTTGGCTTTTGCTCTGCTCTTGCTGTCCACTATCAGCACTCCTCTGGAGGGAGCCAACAGCTCTCCCTTCTACGTGGTGGAGGGTACGAACCTCAACAATGCCACCGACAGCGCTAGCAATGCGAATCAGCAGAGACAGCTCAGCTCGATCCGCGTGAGTGGGAACGGTCGCTAAGCAGCTGCAGATAGACTGTAAATGGAGCAACTTCTGGTGTCAGCGAATCGTTGAACATGGTCAGGTTGGAGCATATAGGGCATGTAGGGCGAGGGAGCAGGGCGCGTGGGCGGTCCTGCAAGGGAAGAGAAGTGATTCGGCCTGCCGTCCAGAGCCCTAGGCGGGTAGAGGATCAACAGTCGGACGGAATACTATCCGCATGCTCCACAAGCTGGCCTAACGCAAAGAAGGATAGCTGTCCGCTTTCCCCCGAGCGCACACTCTTGGCGCACGCTGATCTGAGCTGCCTTTCATTCATCTAACAGCTTGGCAATTGGGGCTACTGTACTAAAGGAACAGGCGAGGGTGGCTTCTCCTACTGCAGCGACAACCAGGTGAGTGCTGTAGGCGAGCGCGGGCAGGAAGAATATCGCGTGGGGCTTTGAAGGGCAAGCTCCGAAGGACATGCAATTGATCTGCTACGCATTGTCTTTGTAGCATGCATACAATGTTACTTTGAACTTGGGCTCCAACGGCACGGACGTTGCAAACCAAGATCAATCCGCCTACCGCTCGACTGAGATTGGTCCTTCCTGGACCCGAGGTCTGGTGGTTGTCGTAGTCGCATTCGTGTTCTGTGAGTGCTGCTGTCCAAACGCGATCTTCACCGCGACGCCATGCTCATCTTGCTCTGGCGATACGCATCACTGCCACAGCCATCATCGCATTTGTCCTCTCTTTCCCTCCTCACCTAATTGTTCAGCTCGTCGCTTCTCTGATTTGGCTGCTCACTGCCGTGCTTGCGCTCATCGCTTTCGCCATTCAAATGTGAGCCGAGTTTCCATTTGCAACGTTACCAACAGCCTCGGATCATTACTGACGCGTGGGTTTTGCGTTCGCGCTTGCCGCACACAGTGCCCTCTTCATCTACACGCGTCAGCGACTGCAGCGCATCTCTCCTGATGCATCTGTCATGCCAGGGTATGTCTGATCTGTGCTTGCGATTGAGCACGTTTGCTCCGTACACTGATTCTCATGTCGTTCCCACAGCCCCTCGTTCTACCTAACGCTCATCTCGATTCCTCTGTCGCTCTTCAGCGCCATTACCGTCTGCTGCGGCTACCGCAAGACGAAGAATGAGGACAGCTACGGCGGCTACAAGGCCGGATCTGGGGCTAGCAAGCCTGCTAGGTTCAACCCGTTTAAGCGCAACAGAGGAGCAAATGCTACTGATGCGAGCGGATCTTCCATCCCCTTGTCCTCTCGACAGCGTGTCATGCAAGCCTTCGAGAAGGACAACAGTCAGGCTTGATTCGTGCTCTTCGGATCCCTTGCAGCTTGCTTGCCTTGCCCTTTCGACATTTGTGTCCGCCTGTCAATCTGGGCTCCTGGCTGTCTTCAGTCCGCTTCTCGAAGGACGGAGATGTTTTTTTTTGGACCACATGTACATACATTGCGATGACGTCCAAGCCCCACTGGCGCCTGCTTGCATAGTTTGCAAACTCGAAATGCTCAACTTGTTATCCCCCTCGCCTTTTCACCCCCATCCATACCTTCCATGCGCCCTTTGCGTCTGCGTCTTGGCATCTTTGCATCAATGGGAGGTGCTCGCCGCTACTAAGAGCTTCTCTCGAGCACCTCTTTTCTCCCTCCGCTGCATCCCTCTTGTGCGAGACTTGCGCACCGCACGCAAGCCACGTGAAGAGCGAACCACCTGGGCCCAGACGGGACGACGTGCGCAAGTCTTACACAGTGTTGACAAGCCAGGCAAACGTCAGACGGGCTCAGGGCTGCGCATGAGCGCAGAGTACGAGTAGTGGTACAGTCGAATGGACATCGTGACGCACTGCGCCGAGAGCATGACGCTCAAACACAATAGCTGCAGCTCTTCTGAGATTTTGAGTTCGAGTCGAGGAGCCAAATCCCGACAAGCGATGCAACACCCACACTGTGCAAAGTGGTGGGCGTCGCGTGTTGTTCAGAATCCGGCAAAGAAATCGTCGTCCGCTGCTTGACGCGATTGCGCTGCTTTGCCGCTTGCAGACTGCGTCTTGCTGCGTTTACTCGGTCTTTCGACTGCCGCTTCATCTTCTGAAGCATCTTTTGCGTCAGGGTCGCCCGCCTCTTCTTCTTCTTCGTCGTCGTCGGTATCAGACTCAGAGTCAGAGCCAACGTGAGAAGGGGCATCCGTATGCTTCTTTGCCCTAGGAAGCGCGTCTGCAGCAAAAGAGGAACTCAAATTTCCTAACGCAGCAGCAGAGTGTTCTTCTCCGGCTTCTTGTTTATCTTCTTCATCCGAAGAGCTGTCTCCGTCATCCTCATCCTCATCAGATGCAGGTTCAAGCAAGCTGCCGACATCCGTCAACTTGATCTCTGGTCCGTGTCCTACACTAGCCACCCATCCTTCCTTTCTCGCTATCCTCTCCACGGGAAGCCCATTATGATCCGCGACCACTCCCAGCAACTTGTTGGGCAGCACTTGGACCACCCGTATCAGCCCGTCCGAAGAACCGGTCAGAACCGTGTCTTGATCCAGCATGCACAAGGCGTCGACAGATTGTGGATGCCCGGGGATGCGATCTACGTGATCCAGTAAACCGCGGGACGGCGCCCAAACGGACAGCATCCCCAGCTGTGTCCCCACCACAAGTTTGTTGCCGCTGGAAGGAGCAAAGATATAAACATCAGCTTTGGTGTTGCAGGTGCGAAACCGCTGGCACCTTGCGTCGCGCTGTACTCACCGCTTGATAGCAGCGACGCCCAACAGCTCGTCTTCTTGATCTTCACTGACTTCCACGGCAGAGGGCCCAACACGCGGGTCGATGACGGACAAGGTACCATCGCCGCTGCGATCAGAAGGTGACAGCGAGGTCTCGGTGAGATTCTTGCGTCTCTCGTAAATCAAGGCACACAAAGAAATTTCGCTCACCTGGTGACCACCAACCTCTCCCTCCCCAGCTTGTCCGCGCTCTCGTCCTCCATGGCGCCCAGACCTCTCATTTGCCTCCTCTTGGCCTTTTTAGCCTCCCTCTTTTGCGCTTTTCTGATCTCGTCCGGTCTCTTCCTCAGCTCCTTTGGCGGAGTAAGATCTGCAACGTGTATCATGCAAGTGATCCAATCGAAGTGGTGAGAATAGCTTCGAACAGCCCCGGCAGAGAGGCATGATTGGGCTGCTTCGCTAGTACTCTTGCTCGGCTTGACGCTCGAGCTCGATCCGGAAAGAGCATTCTTGGGCGGGCGACGTGGATCCCAGAGCGCCACTACGCCGTCATCGTCGCCAGTAGCAAGCAGCGAGCAGGACACGGGAAGAATGCGAGAAGGAGCCGCCCTGCGAGGTGAGCAAATGAGAGTCAGAGCCGTCTGACACACCTTGCCAGATCGAGACATGCAGAAATCGCTCCAAGCGCATTGCCTCCACTCACGAGTGCGCTCCCTTCCATTGCTGCACTACACTGCCTGTTTCGGTGCCTAGCCTGGACAAGCTGCCATCCTTGGAGATGACCCATACTGAATCGCCCTGCTCATCGAACGCTGCACCTCTGCATGACTTGTTGGTCGGTCTTGTCGCCCACAGCTTGGTGTGGCCTTTGTTGCCACGAGGCCACGGGCTGCTGCTGCCGCTCGCTGGACTTGACGCCTCTTCATCCTCGTCTGAATCGTCTGCTTCATCCAGCTTTGCATCTTGCCCCGCCGCTGCCTTGCCTTTCTGTGCGCTTGTTCGCTGGGATGGGCTGTAGTCTAGCAACTGGACTTTACCCGATACGAGTGAGGCAGCTATGAGAGATGTGTCTGCTTTGGGGTGAAAAGATACATCCAAACAATCGGAGGAGAGGGGAATATCCATGATCGGGCGAGATGTTGGGTGTTGCGCCTCTCTGTTGATTGGCAGCCTACATGCGTTCTCGCAGAGCTTGTCCGTTTCGCAACTTGCGGTGCGTTGAATTCCCTTGATGTTGAACCCAAAAAGCCGATCAGCGGGGCGTGTAAAGGACGTGAGGACGTCACATCCACAGCGAAAGAACCAGCCGGATCGATCGCTCGAGCTGCACAACGTAAAGTCTGACTGAATCTTGGATCGAGCATATATTTCGGAGGGCGGGATGTTTTGCAGCACCAACACGTGATGCAGAGTCTGTAGCCACGTGATCAACAAAGTCCAACACCTTGCTGCTGTGTGCGCGCGCGTTTCGCGTGCACGGCGAGCAGTGAGAGCAGAGAGCAAATCAACACAAGGCGCGTTGCGTGTGGCAGGGCGCACAACAACAGACAACAGCTATGATGCATGCAGATCTGAGCGTCGAAGTTGGGCAGACGCAGACGCAGACGCAGACGCGGCCGAGTCTGAGTGTGGCATGCATTCGCATATGATTTCGTAGATTCACATTCACATTCAATTGGCCATTGCGCTGTTATTGGTGATTCCACGTTGGTCGGCACTGTGCGAGATCGATATGCCTCACCTCACGACTCACGAGCTCTGGACGTGCCGACCGTCCTCTTTTGCCCCACAAGCACACTAGACAAGATAGACGCGAGCCCAACTTTTTCCCTCCATCCGTCTTGACTCTGGGCCGCTACTGTAGCGCTAGTCGCCTCTCTCGACGCCTGCTTTGTCCTCCCTCCCGTTGCGTCTAGCATTGACTTGGCTCGCATTCGAGCATCAGTCTGACGTGTGTTGGCTTCAGCTAGCGCAATCCTCAGCTCAGAGCCTGCTGCCAACAAATCCACGCCATCTTGGCACTCGCAAGTCCGCCTCTCCACCATCACAACGAGCGCACTGAGCTAGACACTGCGCTGGCCAGCACACCATTCACCCTTCCTGCACTTTCCCCGACTGGAAGCTCCACTCACGCTTTCAACCTCCACCCTTGCGGACTCCACCGCAATCTTTCTCTCCAACATGGTGGGCGCTCCAGCAACGCGCGTGTTGCTCCCCTCTTCGAACTCCAACACCTCCTTGCCTCCCACCTCCCCAGCTTTGAATGGCAAAGCATTCACCAAGTCTGGAGCGATGGAGATGAGCAAAGCTCCACCGTCGCCCGCTGCCAAGGTCAAGGCGGCAGCAGCAGCGGCTTCTGCTGCGGGAGCAGGCAATGCATCGAGAATCGCGCACGGGGGCATGCCTAGTCCTGACCCTCAGAACGGCGCCAATGACAATGAGTCAAAGAACAGTTGGAGGAGCTGGAAGAGGGGAGAGGGCCTTCAAGCTTGGGAAATGGATCTGCTCAACAAGCCAGAGGTCAAGAGGAAGGCCAATGTTGCCCAAATGTGTGAGTATCGGCCGCTAAAGTCAAGCTGCGTTGTCTCTTGGCAGCGAAGCGTGTGAGCCGGCTTGTGTCAAATCATCTTGCCAGGATCGCGGTACGATCGAGCAGCGGAGCTGTCTGACGCCCGCATACACTCTCTTCCAAAACTTGTCCCGTGATGCATAGTCTTCCTGAACAACTACTTCGAGTCTTTGCGCTACCTCTCCAATCGCCGAGCTCGCACGACCGCATTCAAAGCCGCTCATCCAGGCCCCCTCGAGATGACCGGCTCCTCCGAAGCAGCTTCCTACTTGGGCAGAGAGAGAGCGCTGCTCCGCAAACGCAGGACAAAGCTCAGACTGGACAGTTTCCACATCATCGCTCAGGTGGGACAGGGCGGGTACGGGGAGGTGTTCTTAGCTAGGAAGAAGGACACAGGACAAGTTTGCGCGCTCAAAAGGCTCAGGAAACGTGTGCTGGTCAAGATGGACGAAGTGCGGCATGTGCTCACCGAGAGAGACATTCTGACGGCGACGAACACGCCTTGGCTTGTCCGTCTGCTCTATGCATTTCAAAACAAGGAACACGTCTTCCTGGCCATGGTGAGTACGCCGACGGCCAGCCCCAGCTCGTTTCGAGACGTTTGCTCACCCAGATTCCGATTTATGCGCACATCTTGTCCGTCTGGCCACAGGAGTACGTGCCTGGAGGTGACTTCCGCACTCTGCTTAACAATAGCGGTGTGCTTCAGCTGGAATGTGCTCGCTTCTACATGAGCGAGATGTTTGTTGCTTGCAATGAGCTTCACAAGCTCGGCTACATTCATCGTGATCTCAAGCCCGAGGTGAGCTGATGCGCATCCAACCGCAAATGCCTACAGTGATACTCAGTCCGTTGGCCTTGCCCTATTCGCATCTTAGAACTTCCTTGTGGATGCCACTGGCCACATCAAGCTGACCGACTTTGGTCTAGCCGCTGGTGCAATCAACCCCGGTCGACTCGACAGCATGCGAGGCCGAGTGAGTGTGACTTTGATAGCTTGGAGCAAATGAGGTCTGATTCACGTTCCGCTGACTTTGTTAATGGCTGCGATATACCCGGAACAGCTCGACGCCGTCAAAGACGTGGACCTGGTCTATCGCACACCTCACGAGCGCTCTTCCCTGTACAAACAGATGAGAGCTCAGAACGTGCAGCACGCTGATTCCATTGTCGGTAGTCCGGATTACATGGCGCCGGAAGTTCTGCGCGGCAAAGACTATGGTGTGGGCGTAGACTACTGGTCTCTCGGCTGCATCCTCTTTGTGAGTGCCGGCGCTTGGATCTCCAGATGTTTTTCGGCAGGCCTTGATCACATCTGACTGCTGACGAGATGTGTCGGGCCTTTTACAACTTGCTTGGCACCCGCAGGAGTTCAGATGCAGCTTCCCGCCCTTCTCTGGAGGATCGCCCGATGAGACTTGGGCCAACCTGAAGAATTGGCAACAGTGCTTGCGTCGTCCAGTCTACACGAAGCCTCAGGATTTACAATTCAACCTGAACGACGTTGAGTGGAACGTGATGACAAGGTGAGGCATATTGAATTCACCACGAGCAGAGTGCAGCGAGCTCACAGTGGACCTTCGTCTGTGATCACCCCGCCAAGTCTGATTGCTGGGCCCAAGGAGCGTCTCAGTACCCTAGCAGCTGTGCAAGCCCATCCATTCTTTGCGCCTCTGGACTTTACGAAGCTGAGAGAGGTCAACCCGCCGTTCTTGCCGCAACTGGAAGGCGAAACGGATACTGGTTACTTTGACGATTTCAACGAAGGCTCAGAAGACATGGCCAAATACAAGGAGGTCTTTGAGAAGGCCAAGAATGTGGATGCGGTCAAGGAGGGCAGCGCTGGCGGGCGCGGCATGTGGGCTGGCTTCACCTTTGGAAAGAACGTGAGTAGCGTATGAAAGCCGACGTATTCCTCGGTAACTTGGCTGGAATTGAGCAACGGCGAACCAACATGCTAAAAGAATGGATCGTTCCGTTTCCTTGCAGGTAAACGCACCGCCCAACGAGGCTTTCTTCGACAAAGACGCCAGCGACGCCTTTGCCACCCTCATTTAACGGCGCACCTCTCCACATTCGCCAGCTTCAGCGCTCCGAGTGCCACACCGGGCACTTTGACGACTTGTACAGATGACAAAGGAGGACGCAGGCTTTCTGAGCCGCTTCACTTCGCCGCACGTCGCAGCATCGCTCATCTCCCTCTAACGACCTCCTGCCTCTCTAGCACCATCATCGCGTTGGCTTTTCTTTGTACCTTGTCTATACAGTACTCCTCCAGATCTGACTTATGACCCGATTCTCAGAATCGAATGACTTGATAGTGCCCGTGCGACAGCGAGTTGTACAGCGACCACGGCGGGGAAGTGCGACGTCATCGTCCTCGATTCGTCTTGGGCACTTTGTGTACTTGGACAGTCTGGACAGTGAGAGTCAAGTGGCTGCTTCTCGCTCTGGTCGAGCCACACGTGTTCCGTCGGCGATTTGGCACTCAAACTACATCACGATGGTAGCACGAAGAACAAAAGCGTTCAGAATTTAGGCAACGTACATTGGGGCGTGCTCCACGTTTGACTTGAACCCAAATCAAGCGACCCACCAAGAATTTCAGTGTCAATGGACCCAACTCGCCAGCAGAGGAAAGCAGGTGAAGAGGAAGAATTGACGCTCAAATGAAAGAGAGTAAAAGAAAAGGAGGGAAATCGAGAGTACAGTGACAACTTTCTTTGAGAACGATTCTGGACAAAATTGGAAGCACCACGTCCTCGACGTGAAGCAGAAGCGCCAAGACACGTGGTGTGTGGTCGCTCTAATTCGTTGCCAGTCTGGTTTCCAAAGCCTTCAAAGACTCTTCACGAGCAACGAGCTCTTGCCTCTTCTCTTGAATCTCGCGCTGCACGCGCAGTTCAATCTCGCGCAGCTTCTCCTGCAGAGCGTCCCGATGAGCGATGAGGGAGCAAGTGTCATGGTGTCAGAGGTCTTCCCCGGTTTCACGCTAGGATGCGCGTACTCACCTCCTCCTTGCGCAATTGCTCCTCCTTGAGACGGACGCTCTGGTTTGCCAGCTCGTCCGCTGGCATCGCCGTGTCGGCATAGTCAGAGTGAACGGTACGCGAGAGCTGCGAAGCGACATATGCGAGCTCTGTCAGTATCGATTCCGACGACCTTGAGTAGTGTGGCGCGGACTCACCTTCTCGGTACGGTAGTTCTCGTACAGGAAGTCGTGGGTGATCTCCTTGAGATCGGTCAAGTGGGTGCTGCACTCGGTAGCAAAGAACGCTTGATCAGCTCGAGCAACGCTAGTTGTTGAGAGTTACTGTTGACTCACCTGAGCAAAGCAGACCTCAAGCGGGCAAAGTCGGAATGCTTGGGATTGTCGACCTCGACGATACCCCAAGGGTATGTGCGAGCCCGAACGGGCTGACCGCTGATGACGACTTCCTCTTCCGATCCGATGACGGCAAAGGGCATCAAAGCTCGGAGCTCGGAGTTGTCGGCGATGGTCTCCTCATCATCCTCCTCGACGTCGTATGGGAAGTTGTAGACGGGAATTCCGTAGTGCTCGATGTCTTCCATCACCTAAGTGCGAGCGGGGGTACGTGATTGTCTCAGCACCTGGACTCGGTATGCTTGACTCTCGCGCATCGGCAAGGTGGCACTTACACGTCGCTTGAAGTCCTTGCGCTCCTCATGAGTCATGGTGTCAGCTTTTCCGATGACGGGAATGACATTGACCCTGGGGCTGAGTCGTCGCATGAGCTCAATGTCCATCTCTCGCAGACTGTGACCAGTGGGGGTGATGAAGTAGAGTAGAGCGTGGACACGATTGTCTCTGAAGCGGGGGTTACGCTTGATACGGCTCTCCTCGGCCAAGATATCATCGTACTGCCTGTCGAGGAATCCAACGATCTCTTGAAAACTGATGACATTTTGGATGGTGGAAGGGCACCTCCGCATCAGCCTTGCCTACACTTGACCTCACAGCTAGCAGCTCGATTGTGCAGCGCATCTGCTGCCACTTACGCGTACTCGTTGTCGATGTTCTCGCCGAAACCGGGAGTATCGACGATAGTCAAGCCAATGCGCATGCCATCCTCTTCCAGCTCTGCGCGAGGTAGAGTCAAACGATCGAAAGCCGGGTCAGTTCAAGTATTCCCGTCCCACGCCCAACTCCTCCGATGGGGCAAGCATTAAGTAGGTCAAGACCGCGGGAGATGGCCGCACATGCGCAAGCACCGTACCTTCTCCATATCAGCCGCGTTGCCGTGCAACGTTTTCAGGCCCCAGTCCTCAGGCCCTTTGCTGTTTGCTGCTTGCTAATACCACCATTCCATCGCATCTGCACCTAGTCACGGCTCATGAGACTCACCAACGTTGACAGGCTTGATACGGATTCCCTCCTCGATATGCGCAGTGTCCGGCTGATCAGAGATCTTATGGCCTAGGACGTCAGACTCGCACAGGGTGTTGACAAAGGTCGTCTTTCCTGTACCGGACGCTCCCACCACCATGAGGCAGAAGGACACTCCCTTCTTGGCTGCGCGACGTGTTCTCGAGTTCATCTTTGCTCGTACGAAGCCTGATCGATGGGCTGAGTATAGGACTTGGTCGGGAAGGCGGACTCGTGCGTCCTTTTGGCTGGTATGATGAGCCAAAGGATCAAGTTGATGGATCAAAGACGGGTTCGGTGTCTTGTCGTGAAATGCGGGGAATGGCAGACGAAATCGAGATGAGATGGGTCTGCACACGAGAAGCGAAAGTGAGAGTGACGGAAGATGAAGCTGAGACGAAGTGACGATCCCAAGCCTTGTCGTTCAGTGAAGCATCCAGCCGCGCGGCGGAGGCAGGCAGCGACAGGACGTGAGCATATGGCTTGACTCGCGCGGCCAGCTAGGCTAGCACGCAGCATGCACCATCCGTCGCCGCGTCGTGACTACGGATGTAGCGCGCTGCCTCATTGCAAGGCGCGCCCATCGCAGCAGCTGTAGGCTAGCTGCTGTATAGCCAAGCCAGCCGAACGCGCGCACGGCTCCTCAGCCAAATACAAATCCTCTCGCGAACGGACACCGCAGAGCTATTAACTGGCGCTGCAGCTGATGCTGCATGCTGCTGTGCCCAATCCTTTCCATCATTTGGACGCGTCCGAGTCGTGAGTGCTCAAGTGCATGCTCGTCCCTCATGCAGGCCTTGCTTGCTGCAAGCATCGTCTTCTAGCCGCGGTTGCTGATGCTGCGTGTTTGGCGCGCTGGCGAGCGAGAGCACGCATCGCGGTACGCGCAAAGATGCCACGTTGTAGTAGATTGTTCGAGACCGCTGTGGTTGCATGCACTCGCGCATAAGCCGTGAATATCAAGGTTGCATGGAGCGCAGAGCTCCGTTGCGGGGCGGGACATGGTCCTACCATTCGCAGCCTCATGGCTCATGCGCATCCTTTCACCTCCCCCGTGTAAACCTGCTTCACAGTCAAGAGTCAAACACAAAAGTCAGATGTCGGCGCCCATCACATCTCAGAACAAGACATTGAGTTGGTAGGTCGGGCTTCAAGACTCGCCATGGCTCTCTCTGTTGCTCCACAAAGTGGCGCATCTGACCCCTCCACAAGCTATCGCAATCTGCAATCCGACGTATGGGCTCGTCATGCCCACCTCCTGAGCAAGCAAACTGGAAATGGTGCACAGCCCACCCTCGATGCTGCGCTTACAGCTAACGCACAGCCTAAACTTCGACCGCCGCCCGATGTAGATGAAGAGGATGGATCATGGCATATCGGCGTGGTGCATGGCCTCAAGGGGAAGCTGAGAGCGCGGGATCATCCGCGCTGGCACCTTGTCCGACAGGTGGAAGCGCTGGGAGACGCTGATGAAGCGTCATCTGAACCTCGCAAAACGTCGCAAGCGGAGCTCATTGGCCGGCCGGGCGGTCTTGGTCCCAACTTTGTGAGCCGCTTTCGATCTGCACCAGAAAAGTAGACGAGATCTGCGCAGAGTACAGGCTGAAGTTTGATGATGCCGAACCCGTGTCTAGATCCCTGCCGAAATCACCATCAGAAACGACAGCTCTCAGCGTTTCGTGGACACTGGGTGTGGACAATTGCCGGGCAGCAGCGTACGCAATCCAGACTTGGCATCTCGTTTCCAAGAGTGAGCTGCTTAGTGGAAGTGTGCTGACTTCAGGCAAGGTATCTGAGTGCAGCTCTGCTTCGTCTGATTGATAGATACCCGCGACTTGAGAAGCTCCTGCATCTCAAAGGCGAATCTTTGGCACGACACTCTCCACCACCCTACTACATTCAAGCAGACTTGCGAGGCACGATAATGGAGTCTGACAATTCAAATGGCAATCGGAGACAGGCCATCGACATTCTATCTCCCGATCTACTCGGACAGATGCGCTTCGATGCCATTGTCATTGATGCGCCACTCGAAACTTACGAGTGGGATGATCCCACGGGTGCTGGCTCTGCTGCGTGGGACTGGTCACAGATCGCGAGTCTGCCAGTGTCTGCCCTTGCAGCCAAAGAAAGGTTCGTGCCTCGTCACGTCCCTACGAATCATGCCACGAGGCTGACAACTTGTCTGCGCTTCCACTTGAAGCTTCATCTTCATCTGGGTAGGATCAGGAGCAGGCGATGGGCTGGAGCGCGGACGCGAAATCCTCGCCAAGTGGGGTTATCGCCGGTGCGAGGACATCGTCTGGGTGCGCGCCGACTCGGAGCAAGCTAGGCAGAGCGAGCCAGCAGCTACGACCGCTTTTACTCGCACCGCTCAGCACTGTCTGATGGGCATACGAGGTACGGTGAGACGAAGCAGGGACCATCATTTCGTCCACTGCAACGTTGATACCGATGTCATCCTGTGGCCCGGTGAGGTCAAGGAGAGCTCTGCATCAGCCAGTGACGGCACCTCAAAGGGACACAAGCTCATCGACGTCCGCAAAAAGCCTCCGGAGCTTGTCGCTCTCGCCGAACACTTTTGTCTAGGCACAAGAAGATTACAGTTATTCGGCGACAATCGCGGTTTGCGCAGAGGTTGGATCTCTATCGGCGACTGTGTTGGGCCTGATCAGCCTGGCTGGGCTGAGGCTGAGAGAGGCCTAAATGCATGTGCTGCAGGCGTCCATGGAGCTGGTCCTGCCCCAGATGGTTATGTGCAGCCGCCACCGCAACCTTTCGATCGGGCTTCTTGGCAAGCCTCCGTGAATCTCGAGTCTGTCTCCGGGGACCCCAATCGTACCGTGGACCAGTCGTTGCTACCCTTCGACGCACAAATCGACGAGCTGAGACCCAAATCTCCCACGCGTCAGGCAGGACGCGTCTCTGGTCCACAAGCTGCACATTCTCCAACCCTTGGTTGGAACGGGACACATCTGAGAGAACCACGAGGTGACTACATACAAGGCTCGACCATGCGTGCAGCTCCTTTGACTAGGCCTCTGGAAGCCGGTCTGCCCTACAATCTTCAGCCGGGGATGCTCGCTCCGCAGCAGTTCTCCGGCAGTTGGGCACCAAGTGGTTTACCAACAGACGACGCGTACACCTCAAGGCAGACGGCTCTGCATGCAACTTTGCACGCACCAGGAGGAGCAGGTTTGTCGGGCCTTGGCGCTGGCGGACCTCGCACGGTCAGCATTCCTTCAGGCAACGACACTCTGTCCGGCCCACAGGCTTCCGTTCTACTCGGTCGAGCCACCAGAGGCATTGGACCTACAGGCTTGGGCAGGCCCAGGTAGGGTTGGTTACAATCCATGATCTGGCCGTTCAGAAGCATGACTTGCGCCGACCTTGAACACTCCCCGAACCTGGTGGTAAATGTGTCATGCAAACCGGTTAGAATGAGAAATGCTGGTGTTGACCGAGTTCACACGGCTGCAAGGCGAATGTAGGTGGTGCTAGAGATAGATTTGTATGCATTAAAGAAGCAAAGATGAAATATTAAGCAGCAAGACGCGAAGGAGGCACTGGCTTCCACCGATCCGATTCGGAAGGTTGTTTCCGGCCAAAGCTCTTCTTGCTTCCATTCGTGGCATTCTCGTAGCTGCTAGGCGAGGAGCTGCTCAATTTGCCACTTCCAGAGCTATGACTGTGACCGACACTGCTGTTGTCCGGTGACGAGGGCGGGTGAGATGAGCGCGAGAGATGAGGAGAGCCCAAGGCGGCTAGACGAGCAAATGAGCTCTTGCGAGATCGGGCTGGCTTGCTTGGCGTACTCAAAAGATTCTCATCTAGGCCACTTCCGTTCAGGATGGGCTGCTGAGAGGCTCGCAATCTCGACGTCCGCTCTTCCTGAGACACAGGGCTACCGGTGTATGGTCTGCCGATGACCGCCACGCCCGCCTCTGGTCCTTCTCCGTGGACGGGATTGAACGAAGGATCCAAAGATGAACAATGCAGATGCTGCAGAAGTTGTTGAACGAATTTGGTCTCCAGACGACTATTCGTGGATGCCTCTTGCAAAGACCTAGCAGTCGGGTCCCGCATGAGGTTAGGAGCAAAGATGGTTGCCAAGATTTCCGGGCTCGACTCATTCTCGTCATCTTTGAGTATCAGCTGAGGTTGGACCATATCAGAGGCCGGTCATTCAGCTTCAACGCGCCTCAATACCACCAAGTCTCGACCAGACTCACTTGCAGAAAACTGATAATGTAGGTCAGGACGCGCAGGTTGATCTTTGGTAGACGTGCAACCAACTCAACACTTCGAGTCGAGCTGTCAGCAGCTTTGAGGGCGTTGAAGTACCTGATGGCGGGGTCGCGAGAGTAAGGCTCGTTGCTTGGAAGGACCGTGAAAATATGACGTCAACTTACAAGTCGTACGGGATCAAAGGGGGCTCCAATTCCCTGCAGAACAGCTTCAAGACCGAGGCCAGAACGGCGACATCCTCCTTTCCGTCGTTGACGAGTCCATTGAGACTGTAGTGGCCTCGATCGATCCGTAAACGAAGGAGCGTCACCCTCTCGGCATCGCCTGGAGCGCGGAACAGATCTGGCGACCTGTCCATCGCAAGCATCGCGTCGCAAAGAAACGCCAGGCTGTGCGTGGGGCAGTGTATGAGGGGCTTGAGTCAATTTTGGATGGTACATCGAGATTTTGCCCAAGGAAAACTTACATAACTGGCACTTGAGCAGACGGATAAGCATCTGCCTGCCTCTGCATGACGATCTGCAAGCTTTGGCCAAATACACTAGGCGCAAAAGCGGCGTCCATTTCATATTGGACTTCGTGTATGCTTGGTACCCGGCCTTTGGCCCCTCTCTGCTTGGCAGATTCCAGCCTCCTTTTACAGTGTAAAGCGAGTACTCCCAGGATTACCTCATCGTCTGCTGCCGCTTCTCCATTTGCTTTCGATAAAAGTGCGGGATTGGATGGACTTAGCCGCACAGCTTCTTCGATGAAGACTCGCACGAGCTCAGCGACCTCGCTGGAGCCTGGCGGAAAGCACGTCAGCAGCACGCCTAGCAGCTGCCAGCCTCTGATTGTGGAGTCTCGCGTTGGATTGCCCGATAATTGCTTCATACACTGCAGTAGGATCTCGTCGCGCAATGCGCCGCTTCCCAAAATACCCCGTTCAAGCAACCATCTCTCCTCCTCCACGACAGAAGGACCCGATGAGACTGCCTTGCGAGCACCATTTGGCGTCATGCCGCTCGCTAGGCCTACGCTGAGGCCTTTCCTTTCGGGAGTAGCTGAGCTTCGCTGCTTGTCAGAGACTGCCGTCAACGCTGCGACGCCACATAGATCTGCAGCATGGAATGACGCAGGCGAGACGGCGCGCGCGTACGGCGAGAAGTGTTGATCACCGATGAGCGTCGAGCCGGGTGGAAGGGGGGTAGTTCCGCTGAGCAGGCGAGGTCTATCAGGCACTGTATTGTAACCAATGTTCACTGGCTCTGGCACGCGTGGCCAGAAAACGGCCTGTTCCCGATCTCCAAAGACGCGCAGCACGACTTTGAAGATCCTGACCGCATCTCGCTTCTCTACGGGATCTTCCAGAGGTACCAGAGGAGCAGAAATCGGGTTGCGCTGCCATCGCGACATTTTGCCCATCGAGACTTTGCGTAGTCCGAAAAGACCTGTGCGGTGTCGCGAGAACCGCTGCCTGGCAAAGCCTTCGAAGCTGAGAAGCTCGTTGCGTATAGCGGTGGGTAGCACACGATGCTCGCCAGTCGACAACCGCCGGGTCTCGATGGCAGAAGACAACCTGAATTGGCCAGTAGCTGCTGCCCGACCTTTTGCCGCTTCATGAGAGTCCTCCGCAGCAGCTACCGCCGCCGCGGCAATCCTCTTGGCAGGGTCACGTTCACGGCGATAGCCGCGCGGCATCTCCACCGAGTCAAGTGTTGATAAATCCATGGATCGATCCCTCTGACTTTGAACCGTGCTAAGGCCCATTCCGTGGGACGCAGCTCGAGGCGGCTTCTTTCGCGGAGCTCCGCTCTCGCTGCTGGAAGCCAAATTGAGGTGCGTGGAGGAAATGATGGTGGACAAGCCAGAGCTGTGCTCTTCCCCAGAAGAGAAGTGAGTGCGCTGTGGGCGTGAGGGGCCCGCTCTCGCAGCGTCACCACCGGAATGCGAGCGTAGACGCATGCCCCACTTGACTTGACTAAGATTGGGGCTGTCCACAGGAGGCGGAGGCTGTGTGCGACTCCTGATCGGACTCGATTGCGCTTGTGAATGGGACAACCCACTCAGCGCGCCAGAGATTTTCGAGCTCGGCCAGGTGCCACCGCTAGAGCCTCCAGCCTGTCTCGATTTGCGCTGCGTCGAATCCTCCGGGAGGGCCGCAAGGGCTGCCAGCGAGTCTTCACCAAGCTCCATGCGTGAGAACCTTTTGCCCATGGAAGACTCTTGAATGGCAGCGAGAGGGATGACAAACCCCTCGGGCTTGTGCCAGGTCGTCTCGCGTGTGTTCGTCTGAAAGTAGTAGGGCAGCTTGCGATTATCGTCAAACAGCTCCCACCATTGGCCTTCCTTGCTGGGCGGCAATACAATAGTACCGGCAGGCACTGCCCAGACGCACTCTCCGGTCTCGGGATTAGCGAAGAAGGATTTCCCCGAGGGTTGCTCGATCACGACCCAAAAGTGGGCGCCCCAAGTCTCATCGCCGAGCGTGCCCGTCCATCCCTCTGTTGCGCTCCTGCTTCTTCTGAAAGCTTTGGAGGGTATGCCGAGTTCCTCAAGCGCCTCTTCTTCCAGCGCACGTTCTGTGGCTCGACTCCTCATGCCTTCCACATGCGGCACTATTCCGTTGCCGTTACCCACGCCCACACCAAAGCCTCCCAGCTTGGGCGTACGGCCGGGCGACCTGCTTCCGGCTCCACCCCCGCGCTTTCCAGCAGATGGACTTGGCGAACTTGAACCTGCCGCAAAGCTCCTGAAACTTGCATCGGATCCCAGCGATGTGTCCGCAATATTACCTGCATAGTCTGTACCCGCTTCGGAAGCTGTCGCGGTATATTCAGCGTCTTCCGAGTAGGCTGTGTCGGCGCTGGAGTCAGGTCTGCTTCGCCCTTTGAGGGAAGGCGTCTGAATATCTGCTCGTGAGAGGGTGGCTGTAGATGCGGCGGAGGCTGGCCTGGCATCGGCGCTTCCTCTTCGAGCTTCATGCGCAAGCTCCGTACTACCATCGCCGGAAGAATCTCCAGCCTCGAGTTCGTCCGCTCTCCTGACCTCCGCATCATCACACCGCAGTGCGCTCATCTGGTGAGCATCATCTTGAACGACGATGCGAGGGCTGGAAGTCTGTCCTGAGACTTGTTGCGACAAAGCCGGGCTGACTCTAGGCGGAGGTCTTGTGGGAGGAGCAGGTCGAGTGACTGCAAAGCCTCCGGCGCTATCTCTCGATCCGGGGCGACGATTCAAAGGGCGCGGGCTCAAGGGCGTGGGTAAGGCGGGAAGCTCGCTGTTCGGGCTTGACAGCGACATGGCGCTCCCTTCAAACCCAATCTCAGTAAGGCTGGTCCAAGCAACAAGCAAGGCGCTTTGAATGAGGTGTGAAAGGTGGTCGTTTGCAGGATCGCAGCCGGCGTCCCAAGGGACGATCGATGTGCTGGACGTGACTGCTGCTTCTAGTTGTGATTGTGCTTGCAGGCTATGGGTGAAGGGCGCTTGTCCAGACTTCGCTTTGCATACGACGGGTCGATGCGTGGAGGGATCGAGATTGTCGTAGGCCCCGCAAGGAGTGCCTGATGGAATGAACTACTTGCCCATGCAGAAGCAGTTGAGACCGGTCTGTCGCTGGAGCAGTGAGGTCCACCTCAAGCCTGTTGCAGCAAGAAGACCGCACCGAGGTAAGATCGTGGACACAAATTCGTGGCTAATCCTGTCAGAGCCCTGCAGCCGAGAGTTCACAAAACGTTCGGGATGTTGACGGCAATCCTCGGCCCCCTTCATGTGCCCCTGTACTCCAAACCTGTGAATACCGAGGGCAAGTAGCCCGATGCCGCGACCTTGATCCTGACCCCTATACGCACGCGCGATGAGAGTCCTGCGCAAACGAGCGAGCGTAATTGACGCGTATGCCGCTATTGTGGTTCTGCAGAGCAGAGCTGCTCCACGATGGGGATGCTGGCCCGCGGTAGCTCGATGGTACCTTGGCGTATTTGGAGGTGTTCAAGCATCTACCTTTGAAGTTGATCGCATAATAATAAGCGTGATCAAAGGGCAATCTGCCAAGCAAAGTGTGGTGTTTGGTGGATCAAAGTGTGTATGCCGCATGCTTCGGGAAAGGTTGTGGAAAGCGACAAACCCACTACTGTGACTGGCTCATCATGAGCCATGCAATGATCTGAGCAAAGCAATCATTGAATCAGTGATCAGGCGTGGGGAAGTTTCTCGTCTTCGCATGCAGTCACTGCTTTGACGCTCTGTTCTGACTGTGTCGACAGCACCAATAGAGGTGCGCAAGCAGGTGCGCGCTGCGCGCACCGGAGCGATACGCTGTATGTACCAATAGTACTGCTGCCGCTACTACTACTCTACTCCTGTTGGATAGCTGCTCTCTCACCTGCTTAATTGTGCATACGCGTGCCAGACGAGCTCGGCTCTGGCATCATTCCCGCAGCCCCTGATCCTGCCTCGACTTGAGATTTGATTCGAAAGAAATACTCGCTCTAATGAAGAGATAGGAGCGGTGCATTGGATCAGGAGGTTGCTATGCGCGGCCGCTTCTGGAATACTGATCACGACTGCTGTACCGTACGCCGACCTGCAGATCAAGGCCGAGCGCCCGTGCGAATGCTGGACGCTGCAGGTGGCATGCTGCAAGCCCATGCATTCGCTCACCGCGATGCGCGACACGGCAATTTGTTCTACGGTGTGGCTCCCATGCTAACGGTACCGAGCGTATAACGGCGCATTTAAAGGACAAGAGCAGGACCGTCCTTTCTTCTTGCGAGGGCCAAAGCGCCCTACACACATGCTGCAGCAGCGTGCATCCAGCAATTCCGCGGTTGCACAGCACCACCACTTCGGCTCGCATGCGCAAAGTTGCGCGCTAAGGAAGGGTTTCAAAGTCAGGCCACCTCCCCACGCGCGCGAGTCAATTGACGTTCGAGGTTATTCAGGAATGAACCCTTAGAGCAGCCGAAGCGTTTGTCAATTGACGGCCGGGATAAGCCATTGAGCCTGAGCAACTGACTCAAACGTGATTGGCGCAAATTGCTGTGAGCATTCAAAATTCACGATTATTCTTGCTGAGATGCGCCACGCGCGTGAATCTGCGCAGACCGAGTGGCGAATCGTGCTGCCTGCATGGGTCGTTTTCATTTTCGATTTCAAGCGATCGACCTTGAACTCGAGTTGTCTTATCGCGCGTGGACCTCAGCATGCCCTCGAGTCTCGACGGCCCAGCTAGGGCGGTGGAACGACGGCTATGTGCGCAGGCGAATGCATGCTCATGCCTATCATCGGTGTGCAGGTCTCAATTGACTAACCAAAACGAAATGGAGCCCTGACTTGAGTGGGACTGATTCGTGATTTCTTGCTGTGAAATTCGAGATTCTCGACTCTGTCTCTTTCCCCAGATCCTCACCACTTACTCAAAGTTAGGCTTTGCGATTCTGGGCGAGTCGATAGCAGCGCAGACCAAAGAGGGTCACATGGCGCGAAACGCATGATGGTGCAGAGCAGTCCCTATATACATACGCTCTTCGGATCTCCACACAACAAGTAGCTCTACCGCTGGCGCCATAGTGTCCCATTTCGACGGCCGATTTTCGTGACTCTATCGTCGCGGTCAAACTGACCGCCCGGGGACTCGTCTCCGCGATCACCAGCTTTCACCACCCATTCAACGAACATGGTCCGTGACGTGAATGTGAGACGATGGAGCAAGCATCTTGCTTTGACGTCGGCGAAGGTCGATCTTTTCCCAGATCCTAGCTGTCCCAGAACTATACTCCTTCTTCGCCCAATCGCCTCTCCGACGATATCCAAGACGACCGTCCATGCCCGCCCACATCGGCTCAAAATTCAGGGAAAAGTTGCGATTGGGAGCTCGGTGCGGTGCAGGATCACGAAGACAAAGCCACGCAAGCGCAGCCACCGTCAGCTGCATGCAGACTATAAAGCTTCTTCCTTTGTTTTGTTTGTCTGCCAGGAGCAGTAGTGACTGCGCCAAGTCAATAAGGCTGAAGTCGAGTCTGAGTGTCGAGTGCCGAGTGCCGAGGTTGCCTGCTGCTCATCACGAAGCTGTCACGCTTCATGATTGATGAGAAGCATCAAAGACTTCGCTCGAATCGTGGATCGAAACTCGCGCGCCTTTGCTTGCTAATGCCCACGCTGCAGATGAACATGATGGGCGCAGCTTCAAAAAGCTACACCAGCATAATCATGACGGACAGCGGGACTGCGAGCCGTCGCCATTGCATTTTTTTTCCCGTCATTGTGGGCGTTCCTCTGCATACATGTACCATAGCGCTGCTGTCGGGAAGGGGTGCAAGGGGCACTTCGAGACTGGACGATCGAGGCCAGGAAGCAAGCTGAGCGGGATACATCGAGCCCAATCGCGAGAGTCATCAACCAGGAGCGCAAGCCTTACGCTCAAGCGTTGGGTTCCAGTCCAGCCAGGGCAATCTCCACCACGACTCACACTGCATGGACCCCACCCCGAGCACGCGATTGATAGCCTTTCGATCATCATGTTCTCCCCTCTCAATTAGCGGCATGTACGCTCACCGAGCGCATCTGACTTTGTCTGATAGGTCTTCCGCACCTGTTCGCAAGAGGAGTCAGGGGGTCCAGCTGCGTCACTCTAGCATCGAACCCGTCTTGGCTTTCACGGCCAAAAGCTTGGGTCAATGGTGACGCTCAATGGCCATTTCATCGCATGCTTTGTCTGAGCGGAGCTTCCAACAGCAAGCTTTCAGAACAGTCTTCAGGTCTCCCATACTGTTGCCAGCAAAGCGGCGACAGGAGATCACATGTTGTCTCAATCCGAGGTGCACAGAGGCAACACAGATCGGAATCACAAGCTCGGGCAATCTTGTAGCAATGACAAGATGTCGTTGTGATTGCAGCGCAATGGAAGCTAGACTTTAATGTACCAGGAGGACTGCGAGACGGATGTCAGTGAGAGATCGGGCGATTGACTGAGTGAATGTGGATGGCAAGTTGACAGAGTCCGTAGAGCACAGCGCCTCGCTGATGCGAGAGCAGGTGCCAAGAAGAGCTATCAGAATAAATGATGCGGGATGCGAACGAGCGAGGCATAAAGTCGAAAAGCACTGAAATGCAGAGGAAGAAGGGAAAAAGCGTCTCAGGGCAGTGATGGAGTATATGGCGGGGAAGATGCTATCCAACAGGCTTCAAAAGCTTTGCGAGTCCTGCATTGCCCACGCTGAGCCGCAGTCGCGGTCCACGACAGGTTTTTAGGCGCTCATGGAGCGCTTGCTTCGCATGCGACGAACAAGGTGCTGTTGGGGGACCACCTCTTCAGAGATGTCTCGACGGCGACCGCTGTAGCCAGCACCCGTCTTGGAGGGGTTGGACCAGCTTGCAACTGGAATGTTGCCGCATTGTTGGTTAGGCAGAGCCTTGATCGTGCTCAGCGATTGATCTTTGTTCGCCGTCTTGGCCACAATTCCGTTCGCGATCAAGGTCACGAGACTGTATTCATCCATCAAGTAGCTTGCGATAGCCTCTCGCGGGTTGCTGCTGTGCTTTGCCTTGAAGGTCCAGAATGTAGAACCGGCGGACCAGGCAAAAGCGGAGAGCTGGGTGTTGTAGTAAGACTGGGTGAACCCATCTTGTTCGACGCCATTGACCGCGCTCCACTCCATGTAGGACACTGGAACCGGATAGCCCACAGACTGTTGCGCAAGGTCGCAAATACTATGGAGCAATTCAGGCTATGGTCAGATGGAGCACGCAAAAGTTACCCAGATGCGACGTCAACTCACGTGTTGACAATCGAGCTAGCGTCCTTGTTCAGAGGGAAGTAGCCGGGGTAAGGGTGGTCTTCGTAGACAAGTAAATTGGGATCCTTGCCGGTGGCAAAGTCGCGCCAGTAGTCAAGCGGCTTCTGGTTGTTGACAAAAGCGTGGTGGAAGAAGGTTGTGAGTCCGGCCTTGCTCAAGATCTGGTAAGTGCCTTCGTAATAACTTCTGAGCATTTGAAGCCTGTCGTCGTCATTGTGCGACTGAGGTTCGTTGATGATGCCCACAGAGTGCACAACAGACTTGTACTTGTGGTTTGAGAGCCACGCCACGACGGCGTTGACAGTGTCATAAGAGCGACCAATGTTGTCTTGGGTGAACCAGCCGATGTTTCCTCGGTGTCCGCTGGACTGGTCACCATTCTGAGATCCTGGCATTCCGTGCAGGTCAATGATGGCATAGACTTTGCGGTCGTAGAGCCAGCCAAGCATCTTGTCGAGCTGCTCCTTTTGCCCAGACATGGCGAGATAGGGTTCGCCTGACGCCGCTGGGATGAAAGCCCAGTGTCCGACGTTGAGACGGAATCTGCCAAGTAGACATTCACGGCACATGTCAGCACTAAGATCGGAATGCCCGACATTGTACAAGCGACCTCAATGCTCACGTGTTGATACCAGCCGCGACCAGCGTGTCAATTTCGGCTTCTGTTACCCAAGTATTCCAGTGGTCTTGCAACGTGGACAGAGCCTTGTTGCCAAGGCTTTGAGAAAAGTCCCACTCGTCATAGGCGTTGTCACCTGCCGTCTGAGTGAACCAGTCCTCATCCAACCAACGTTCCAGCACAAGCCAATTTCCAATGTTGACGCCGACCATCTTTTGGTTGGGATCTGTGAAGTTCCACCTGGGCAGTGCTGTGACGGGAGCGTTGGGGTCGGTAGTGTTGGCATTGGTGTTGCCGCTGCTTCCACCCTTGCCGGATGAACCAGAGCCGGAAGAGGAGCCAGAGTTGCTACCTTTCGTCGCTGCGTTGCTTGTACCGTCTGCATTCTTGGAAGCCATGCTGCCCCCAACACCCGCACCGACACCGATGGCGACCAGGGCGATCAAGGCGACAAGACCAGTGATGTAGGGGTGGCGCTTAATGAAGCCGAGTGGACCGCCGGCGCGGGCAGCCCGACCAGATGAGGCCGCTGCGGCGCCAACTCCGGCGCCTGTTCCAGCACCTCCCTCCTTGTCAAAGTAGTACGTGCCATCGCCACCTCTCCCTTGCATTTGCTGGTGTTGCATGAGGCCATCTTCGGCTGTGGGGGTAGCGGAGCCGTGCCCGTAAGATTCGAGTGTACTGTGAGGAGTACGGGCACCTGTGCCGAAGGATCCGGGAGTGCCAGGCCTCAAGGCGTTCATGTCGATAGAACGAGAGTTGCGCGCCATTCTGTCGCCAACGTCTAGGGTGAGCGTGCAGCCCGGCTAAGACGGGAAAGAGGGTGCGGATGTGCGAGGATCAATGTGAATCCAGATATAAGTAGACGTGCAATGTCCAGAGCAGCTTCAAGGTATTGAAGAAGAAGGATGGTTGCCTAATGATGATAGACGCAATAAACGTTTACAGGGCGAGAGAGAGGGTGGATGAGGATGAGGGGCATTGATTTGACCGGGAAATGTTTGGAGATCAAAAAGGGTCGCGCAGGGGAAGGTAAGCATCCGCCGGCTGTGCGCGAGCAACTTGCGGAATCGCCTGCTTTGGTCCGTTCAGCACCTTGAGCGACTTCAGCAGTCGACTGACCAGTCTGTCGACCTGAGCGCCGTCCTCCAACGGGTCCTGCAGCAATAATGTCCGTGTGCTGCTGCACGATGTTCATCTGAATCGGTTTCATGCTCCAACAATTCTGTAGAACAGCGGCGTCGGGCGTCCGTGGCGGGCGGGGAGGCTAATTCTGCACCCTATAGCTGTCATCCCAGCACGTCGCACTTTCCCTTCGTTGTGAGTAGAGAGGTGCACCAAGTTCGAGACTGGGAGTCTGCCGGGGGATGGTGCAGGGTGAGGAGACCCATTGATGAGACTCTTGTGGTGCCCCCATTTGAGCAGCCATGCATCATTCATGCGATCTGCAGGTCACCGCGGACTGCATACGCATAGACACACCCATCAGGAGCTCGCGAGCTGATGAGACACGAGCTCAGTCACATAGTGCAGACCGGCTCAGGCGATATGTAGAAAGGCGATCGGGCAGTGCTCCGCCCGCGTTTGAATTGCCAGCGGTTCTTGCTCTTCTGCAGCGCTCGAGTCGACTCGAGACTTCTCAAGACGCGCTGGTATAGGACAGGTTCTCGAGAGGAACAATGTTGCGTAATCGACGCACTGCACCTGCTCGGGCAACGACTCGATCGCAACCGGTTACCGAAGTCACGCAGCTGACCTGGTTCGGTGAGGGATATGGGGTAGGGACACGTCGAAAAGAAACATTCTTCAACACCGCGCCATGCCAGATTCACGTAAGCTCTGCGTTTCGCTCTCATGCTCACCAAGTCCCCCACAACTTGGTGGTGCCGGGATGGTGCTGATGAGGCGGGCACACAGACCGCAACGCAACGAGGTCTCTCGCAGCGGAGCGCGGACTTCCGTGGCTGATAGCGCGACGGAACACCAAGCAGGCCCCCCAGCTGATGCCGTTGCTGTGCTCGTCTTTGCATACAGCTCGTGGTCAGTCCCTTCAGAAGAGTGGTAGAGTACAGCACATGCAAACGTACATTCGCGAGTAAAGTAAACGCGTAGGCCAAGTGCCGCAGCGAAAATAAGAAGGCTTGGCAGGGCGGCGGGGTTTCCGGCGGCTGAGACAGCGGAACGTGGGACGCCATATATGGCATGGAGCAGCAGCTGCGTAGCTATCGACGAGCCGTGCAGAGAACACGCGCGGCTGGGGCAGAAGTGAATGAAATGGCGCTCCCAACAGTTCTTCAGCATGGACTGAAAGAGGTGCAACGAGCATGATCTTTGCGAACATACACGGGTACAGCGCATCGCCTGACCGAGAACACGATGAAAAGCCCATGAAGGTCGCTTGAGCGGAGCGCGCTCAGTGCCCGATGATGCGTCTCAGCGATGCTTCTTTCGACCGCGCGCACGCCTTCGCGCTAAACTCAATGACTCCGACAATCAGCGGTATTTCTCGAGAGAATCACCAATGTTTCGTGTGCTCATGATATGCGCATAGACTCATCGACAGCGTTTTGCAAATATGTAGAACAACACTGGAACTCAAGACTGTCAATTGAGAGTCCGAAGTCTGACACATCTCGATCGTGTCGACTTGCTCAGACGAGCACCAGGTTGCTCGAGGAGACAGAGGTCACGTGATTTCATTGTGACCGCTCCTCCTGGCAAGCAAGAGAAAGGTGGAAAGTGGCCTCGAGCCGAAGTCGAGATAGAGCACCCACCATTCATGACTTTCAGAGCTGGCGTTCCGACTCTATGTGCACGCCAAGAGTCTCCCTATCTACCGTTGCAAACGATGAGTCGTGAGTATGCCATCGCTCGAACGAAACAGCGAAGAATCTTGAATGCTGCTGCAATTCTGAATCGTCAAGCAAAATGCGCGCAACAGCCGACCACAATTGATGCCACGTGGCACCTGTATAGAGACTCTTGACTGATGACGCTCGACTCACATCCTTGTCTGCAACCGCGCCCATCGCGTCGCGCTTATATAGCGCACCTGCGCACCGCGCTTGCTGGTTATGCAGCAGACGACGCGCGCGCGCCGGGGCTTCGCGTCACGCCGTCGTGACTTGTCGCACAATAAGCCTTCTGATGCGAGCATCTCAGCGAACAAGGCCATCGATCATTCGTGACCACACGACTACTGGTACAAATCTCACGCGAGCGCTCTCGGACGCGACCGCTTTTGCGCTTCTCAAGTTTGACAGGTCACGAGTGTAGAGAGAACCATTGTACCAAAGTCTCTCCAATCTTGGAAGCACTGGCTGCCCAGCACGCTGAGCATCCCATCCAGCTGGGAGTGACCCAGTCTCGGGCGATTCATCTCTACGACATCCTCGACAGCGCGTTAAGATGAGTTTGGGGGTCACAGGCGCTCCAGACGCGGTGTTGTGGAACGATGCATCCACGACTTCCAAATTAGCGTCGCTTGTCGGTCCCGTCGCATCAGCGCTTAGCGGATCCGGCCATCCTGCAAAGCTGCCCGGTTCCTCACAAGACCTCACAGCCAAGGATCTCGCACTTGTTGCCTTCGACTTGCAGCGCTTCCAACACAAAGTTTTGGGTCCGGGCGCACCTCGACCTGCAGCATCCGACGAGAACGGCAATGCACTTCCGCATCCGCCCAAGATTCCAGCTACCTTGTTCCTACCAGCGGCTTCCCTCTCCTCGATGTCCCTGCCACCTGCAGAAGACTCTCCACTCAGCTGCATTCTGCAAGCTGCACTCATCAGTGCAGCCTCAAGATCCCTGGAGTCGTGGAATGTGGATGATGCAGCAAATGAGGGGAAGTTGAGGCAGGTCGTGGTGGAAGTGAGAGCTGCGCTGAGAGCCAAGGGACACTTGCCCAAGCACACCGTCTTTGGGGAGACCGAAATATCTGAAGCCGAAATCGTAGCTTACCGCAAGCTCGCCACACAACTAGACTGTGAGTACTGACCTTGAAGGTCGGATGTGTAGTCCAGTACATGCTCAAGCTTGGCCTTTTTCGCCTCCGCTCTCTTGCGATTAGGTGAATGGACGAGCGATCGCTCAGCAGCCACGCATATCCTTTTCTCCTCGCCCGAAAGCACCCCTTCCTCTCCCTCGGCTAGCACTGCAGCGCCCTCCGAATACTTCCGCACCCTGGCTAGGACGACGCTTGCAAGTGGAAAGGCGGTAGCCTTGATTCATGTGTGGTACAGGCCCGACTCATTCGACACCTGGCTCCCTGCAAAAGACTTTTCTTCTCCAGAACCAGAGCCAGCGCCAAAGAACCCCGAGCTTGCGCGAACGGTCGGCACCAAGTGGCTCGTGGAGAGTGCCAAGTACAACGAGCTCATGAACGAAGAGGACTATGAGAAGGACGATGCAGAGGAAGCCAAGGCAGGCGCTGAAGAGGTCGGCTTAGGCGACGCAGAGGCGGGCATCTCGGACGCTAAGAGCGAGAAGCCGCGCAAGCGAAGTCTACCAGATGAGGTCACTGAGGAAGCTGAGGGAGAAGGCTCTGCAGCGCCAGGCAGCAAGCGCATCAGGCTCTTCGTCGCTTCTCGTCCGTCTGGCGCCATTGCGGTTGACGTTTCTGGAGCGAGCGGTCCCGCGCCTGGCAAAAATTATGAATCCAACCCTGTTCCTGGAGGCGCGATTGGCAACCTGCCGCCTGAGGCTGCACCTGGCCGGTCTCAAGGCGCATCGCCCGCGGTGCATGTAGCTGGAGATACAAGCATTGCTGACGGCGATGTCACAATGGGCGAAGCTGCCTTACCATTAGTTGAGGTTGAGGAGGTTCCCTCGGCGGCTGATGCAGCAGCTGCTGCGAGCGCCGATGCAGCCGATCGTCAAGCACAACAAGCAGAAGCAGACAATCTGGCTCGTATGTACCTGGCAGAACAGACGCAAGAAGTGATCATTCCATCCTACTCGACCTGGTTCAGCTTTGGGTCGATTCACTCCATAGAGAAGCGCAGCTTGCCAGAATTCTTCAATGGCAGGAACCGAAGCAAGACGCCAAGTATCTACAAAGACTACCGTGACTTTATGGTCAACACGTACAGGCTCAATCCCAGCGAGTACCTGACCTTTACAGCTTGCAGACGCAATCTGGCAGGCGACGTGTGCGCCATCATGCGGGTACACGCTCTACTTGAGCAGTGGGGCCTCATCAACTATCAAGTGGATCCGGACACGAGGCCTGCCACTCTAGGCCCTCCATTCACGGGCCACTTCCGTATTACGGTGGATACTCCACGAGGCCTTCAACACGCTCACCCCGGCACCAAGCCGCGTCCTGCACGCACACTGCTGGCCGATGGCGAGAGCGGCGCACAACATCCGCAGGCATCCAGTTCGGCTCAGCCTGGCGCACCCGACCTCACACTCGAGCTAAGACGGAATGTCTATCAGACGACCATGAAGGCAGCTGTGACTGTGGACGGACAAACAGCTACATCGCTGGCAGCTGCAGCCGACGCTGCTCTCAAAGCTGGTGCAGGCGCAGCGAGCTCGTACTCCTGCGACACGTGTGGTACCGAGTGTACGAGGTCCCGCTACCACAGTGTGCATGCTCCTTCTCGTGGGCCAGGCGCAGGCGGATACGTGCTCTGCCCAAACTGTTATCTCGAAGGTCGCTTCCCCTCTTCGATGTACAGCGGCGACTTCGTTCGCATCGACGACTCACCATTCAAGCAAGGTGGAGCACCGAGCCAAGACGACTGGAGCGATGCAGAGGTGCTGCGACTACTGGAGGGTCTCGAAATGTATGACGACGATTGGGCACAGGTGGCGAGTCACGTCGGTACGCGTAGTAGAGAACAGTGCATCACGCGCTTCTTGCAAATGCCAATCGAGGATCCCTACCTCGACGGAGGAGCGCCTCGTAAGCCTACAAGTGGCATTGACGCCACCCAAAAGGCTTCGCGCGAGACCACACAATCAGACCTAGGTGCTCTGCAGTACGTGCGCGATCTCAAGAACGCAGCGATCCCTTTCGCTCAGACTGACAACCCCGTCATGAGCGTGGTTGCTTTCTTGGCCAGCGCTGTGAGCCCTGCTGTTGCTGCAGCTGCAGCCCAAAGCGCTCTAGGCGAGCTGACGGATGGCATGCGGAAGCGCATCGCATCAAAGGATGGGTCGCAGAATTCTCAAGCCGCTGCGGGTGCTATGGGCGCAGACGGCGCCCCTAAAGCGCAGGACGAGCGCAGTAAAGAAGATTCAGGAGCCCCAGGTGCTGCAGGCGCGAGTGCCGACAATGCCATGGACGTGGACTCGTCCGACAAGACAGCAGACGTATCCATCAAAGTCACAGATGCTGCCAAGTCAGCTGTAGCTCAGGCTCGGGAAGATAGGGAAGATTTGGCCAAAGACTCGCAAGCTATCCCGCGCAACGCCGTCGAGAAAGCGGCTGCTATAGCTCTTGGCGCTGCGGCTGCCAAAGCTTCCATTTTGGCCAGCCACGAGGAAAGAGAATGCCAACGCTTAGTGGGACAGATCATCGAGGCTCAGATGAGAAAGATGGAGGTGAGTCGCACAACGCCGGGGTGGTCTGACGTGCATCAAGCGCTGACCTAGACTCTGCTCATCCTTGCAGATCAAAATGTCGCACTTTGAAGAGCTCGAAGGCTTGTTGGAACAGGAGAGGCGATCTGTCGAGGCTGGCCGCAAGCAGCTGTACGCGGATCGCCTGGCGCTTAGCAAGCAGGTAGCTGCCGTCAACGATCTGCTCAAGCGCGCTCGCGAAGCGCCTGCCAATGTCACACCGGCTGACGTGGCCGCGGCTTCGTCATTGGCGCACGGGCTGCCACAGCAAGGGCCCTCTGTTCAGGCCAACGAAGTCCCTGCTCACCCTTCCTCCGGCAATTACGCTCAGCTGTGAGATCCCTGTACAACTCGAGAAATGCTTACGATGACCGCGTCTGAGCTGGTGACATAATGCATTGAAAGCTCGACTTTGCGAAACAAGCGGGGCCGATACAGGGCAGTGTTCACTGCTTACTCTTGAGGGGGCTGGTAGGGCTCCACCAGGAACTTGCTGAAGCTTTTGATCTTGTCCACACCTCTGACCTCTTCTGTCAAGAGTGGACACCGAACAATGTGGAACTGCAGAGGTGGATGAGATGTTGAAGGCTATCAGTCGCAAGACCTCCAAGAGCTAGATGTTGGCTCGTGAAAAGCATCGGTGCTACTCACATCTTCTGCGTACAAGTCCATCATCTCTGCAATGTACTTTTCCTGCATGGCCTTTCTTACGCGACAGTGATCGCAATTAGAGTCTTTGGAGAAGCAAGACCAGGGCAGGGCGTGAGCATCGCCGCTTCGCTGGGTGCAAGCTGCGCTTGCTGGCTGCCATTCTCACCTTTCTTTGGAAAGAGCAGCTGGTTGCAGACGATGGTGTGCGTGTCGATCTCGTACTGCGTCAATTCCTGAACCAACCTTTCCGTCTCGTACAGACTCAAGAACTCTGCAATGCAAACGCAGACGAAGGTTGTTTTTTCCTGCGGCAGAGTCATACCAGATAGCTCGACAAGGATCAATTTGCGTGCAGTGAGAGCCCTGTAGGCGTGTCAAACTTACGGGATCTTTGAACTGCGTGTTGACCTCGTTGATGACTGCGCGCATGGACTCGAGCTTGGCGAACATGTCCTGCTGGTCCGCACCACCACCGCCCATCATGCTGGTCATCTGGAGAAACGATGAAAGTCTCGCACCATGAGCCTCACTTCAAGATCACGCAGCACCTTGCGGCTCTGAAGCATGGACGCACCTGGTTGAACATTGGGCCGAGACTTCTTCCCAAGGTAGAGAACTTCGCGAGAGCCTTTTCCAGAACGGTAGGGAAGCTAAGGAATCGCAAAGTGTGACCTGTGGGCGCGGTGTCGAAGACGATGACGCTGTACTCCATGCCCTTCACGTGCTTCATGATTTCCGCGAAGCCCATTGCTTCATCGACACCGGGGATGGCAAATGCCAGATCCTGCATCATCGATCCCATTGCACCT